TGGCAGCTGCCAAAAAAAGTTTCACCCGCCCTTTACAATATATATATATATATATATATATATATATATTTGTTTTATTGCGAGTTAGAAGGAGGGACTAAGTAAATATGAATTCAATCCGGAATCCGATTCTTTTTTTAATAATATATATATATATATATAATATCTGTTATAAAAAAAAAGAAAATTATATTTCGATTTGATTTAGATCTCTAATTCTGTTGGATATGAATGGCTATTTTTTATAATAAATTTGTGTATGATTGAGATCATACCATTATATATGTTTTTTTTGTCTTTATGGTCGGATCGGACGCTATTGATATTGTTTTAAAAACATTTCAATGATTTCATATATTGATCATATAAACACACGTATATACATATACATAGCACTTAGAAAACACAGGAAGCTAATTGATTAGATGGCAAATCATTCATTAATTATCATAATTTATTTTTAAAAAAGTTGGATTTGAATTTGTAGAAACATTAGAGACGTACTAAGTCATGCGATTTGACCCCTTTGGTTTTTTTTGGAAGAAGCTGCAATATTTTAAATATTTTTGTGGTCACAAGGGATATAATATTTTTTTTAGATAATCAAATATTTTATATCGAGATCCAAACTAATTCCATGAGTGAAAGCAAGACACGTGATTGAACTTGCACTCTCTTCTTCTACTTAGAACTCGAATTCGAGACGAAACTAACGTTTTGATTTCGGTCGTGGTCCAATCTCTACGGCTCAACTCTCTTTGTCCTCTTTGCACTGTTGTAATAAGAGTTTTGAAGAGCCATCTTGTTTTTTCCTTTGTTCCACAATTTTTATTATATTACAGTCATATTTTTATTTTCCAATATTATATCATATCTGCAATATATATATATACACACATACACGCAATACACATGAACCCTAAAATCCTATTTTATAAAGTTTTGGGCCATCTCATATATATAATATCATACCTTCCTTTCGTTCTACATGAAATGCATTTGAGGTACCATAAATAGTAGATTCTAAAAAAAATACAAATTTGTCTACCCGTACTGTCATGTGTTTGTGTATATATATATATATATATATTATATTTAATTGTTAGTGTATATTTAATCCAATGAACCGAACTATTGGTGTATATAAGTGTACAGTGTACTCACACATATTTTCTGTCCCTTTTTCCACTCTAACACATGTTCATCTCTCTTTTTGTACATACAATTTATATATATGTATAGGTAGATTTATAGTACAAAAAATAGGACATTTTTCTTAAAAAAAATACATGTTATATTTGGTATATTGTATTTGTAAATTTAGAGTATTTATTTTTTGATACAGATAATGCAATTATTGTTGTTTTTAAAAATATACAACAATAATAACAGCGGTCCAATCCAAATTTATTTGGTATCGATGGTATAAATTATTTTTCTCACAAAAATATAATAATCTAAAAAATAATATTCTCACTAATAAATATTTTTTAGTTACACTTCTATATAATTATGTATATTTTTTTTAGGCAACGGTCAAACGTGTGTCCGTAGCAGTTAGGAATACACACACATACGTACGTCAGGCACGTGACGCACGTGAGGCACCCAGTCCAACACGGCAACACGTTACGTTCCATAAATATGAGTACGATTACGAAGAATCTTATTATTATATTTATAGTAATATTCACAAGTATCTATTTATTTAATTTCATAGTAACTGTACCTAAATAACCAAGAATGAGTTTACAAAATTGTTAGCGATATAAGTTAATAGGATTATGTAAAAATATAATAGTAGGAGTGTTTAAATGTATATTTATAGAATAATATAATTAAATTCAAAATGTAAAAATACATTCATTTTAAACAAGATTGAAATTGATGGAGAAATATTTAATCTCTTCGGCTTCTATAGTATATGTGACATATATAGCCCACTTGAACTGTTTTTTATTTGAAATATTTAGATAAGATATAAATTTTACGTGTATCTATTTTCAGTTTTTTAATAGAAGATGCAACCTTACCTGGTTAATCAGTCCCTTTTTTTTAGTTTATAATGTATTTGACAAAGACCATCAATAAATAAATAAATTTTCTATGGTTGTCATTATAATAATTTGTTATGTGGATATGTTCCAATTAAATTTCTATAACCCTACGATCAATTAAATCTATAATATCACACCAAAAAAAAATTAAATCTATAATATAATCAGTTGGTGTATCAACTACCACAATTCCACGTGGATAAAAAGGCTGTATTTTAATAATAGACACATAAGTCTCGATGTATTTGCTTTGATGATAATTCTATTTATATATATATGTATATATAGAAATCATGCATTTGAATTGTGAAAAAAAAAATATATTTATTATACATTTGAAATACTTTTTTTTCCATAATATATTTTCTACATTTTATTTACACTTGTAGACATGTTAGGATTGTATTAATACACATAACTATTATCATAATGTAATATATAGTTTAGTGAATCGATAAAGTCAGATTTTTTTCCTTAATTAGAGCTTATGTCATAATTATTCACGGAATCCAGACTTTTATGTAAAATCGATGACTTCCACGTGTAAATTCAAAAGAATTGTACGATTCCTAAAAAAAATATACAAATCTCTAATAATTTCGATAAATTCCAAACATGAAGTATGACTATGGCGTTTTACGCATCGTAATTTAATCACTCCGCCATGTTCATCTCTGTCCAGAATCTCTTGTGATCTCTCTCTCTCTCTCTCTCTCTCTCTCTCTCTCTCTCTCTCTCTCTGAGCGAATACTGTCTTCTCTGCTTCTTTCTCTCTACGCTGTCAGAGAGAGGGGGAAAATACGACATTTATTAGAACTCGAATAGTCGAAGCAAAAAGGTCGGGTTTTTCCGACAACTCCGACCCGTTTCTCCATTTCAGCTGCTTGAAAATTCAAGGTTTTTTTCATGGGTTTTCACTCCTCCGACATGAATCGAGTCGGACCCACCTCTGGGAATGCTCCATAGCGTGAAATACAGTCCTCATTCGAAGGGAAAAAAGCTTCAGCCGTGTCTCGAGCCGTTCTGGAATCTTCGTTCTTTGATCCTCCATAGAAACAAGTTTGGATTCTTTGGTGTTTCCCTTCGTGTTTGGTCGGGGAACTTGATTTTGCATATGTAAGAAACGTGGAACTCAACTTTTTGTTCGTGGGTTTGATTTTTATTTTTTATTTTTCCCGAATTTTTTCTTCGGCTGTTTAGGATACCAGGATTTTGTGGGTGTCGAATTTCTTGCTCGATATGGGTATAGTTGAAGGGTAGAGATTTACCAAGTTCGGTAAACTTGGCTTTTACGAGATTCTTTTTCGTAAAAACCCAACCTTTTTTAAATCTCTTGCTTTTATGAATTTTCATTTTTTCTTTTTTGCTCATGTGAGATTTGCAGATTCTCAGTTAGGTGGAAGGGAAGATGAACTATATAGCAAAGTGGTTGAATCAAATTATGATGGGTTTCAAGTGAGAATTCCAAAATTTAGGACATTGAGGCAAAAACCAGGTTTCTCTTTGCCTGATCAAGATCTGGGTTTTGATGAGATAGAGATTTAGGAATCTGGGTTTGTTGCAAAAGAAAAAAGGGGCGGGGAGTTGTGCATAAGAATCAAGAGCTAGGGTTTTCTGTAAAAATGGCTGCAAGAGTAGAAGCATCATCAGTAGGGTGTGAGATTGATGAAGAGAGTGATGATGAGAACAGAGGAAGCATATGGGAATTGGAGCAGAAGCTTGATCAGCCAATGGATGAAGAAGCCGGCAGGCTCAAGAACATGTACAGAGAAAAGGTAATCAAAATTTCCAATAGCCATTTTCACAAATTCCATCTTACAATTTGGTTGTTTTATGATTTCAAGATTGTAAATTTCCATGTTTGTATCCATTGAATGCTGAGAAATTAGGTTCTATGGATTGTATTTGTATGAATTTTGAAACTTTCTCATAGTTGTAATTCATCAGAGTTATCAGATTTGTCCCTGCTGTGTATGGTCTTTTGATTGAATGAAGAGACAGATGAAAAGGGTATTTTAATTTATAGCTTAAAGGTGATCTCTTTAATCGGATTGAACTTCTTCGATGCAGAAATTCTCGGCAGTTCTGCTTCTGCAGCTTGCTTTTCAGAGTCTCGGGGTTGTTTATGGCGATTTAGGAACTTCACCTTTGTATGTTTTCTACAATACATTCTCTCGGGGAATCAAAGATCCCGAGGATATCATTGGAGCTCTTTCGCTGATCATATATTCCCTCACTCTCATCCCTCTCCTCAAATACGTTTTCGTCGTCTGCAAAGCTAATGACAACGGGCAAGGTAACTGTATATTTAAGCCCTTTTCTTGTTTTCTTTGGATTCTATTCGTTTTTAGCAGTTTCTGAAGAACTATTGTTTGTGAATTATCGCTTTTGTGGGCATAGATGGAACGTTTGCTGCGTTTTTGTGGCTTTGAGTTTAGGGTTTAGGATTTAAAAACTGTTTCATTAGAATCTTATATTCATTTAGACATGCATTTCGGCCTTTTTCCCGTTTATGAATAACTTACTTGTTTGTAAATTGATCACTTACCGGGCATAGGTGGAACGTTTGCTGTGTGTTTGTTGCTCTGGGTTTAGGATTTAGGGTTTAAGAATTGTTTCATTGGAATCTTATATTCATTTAGAAATGCATTTCGGTCTCTTTCCCGTTTCTGAATAACATATTTGTTTGTCAATTGATCGCTTACGAGCATAGGTGGTACGTTTGCTCTGTATTCGTTGCTCTGTAGACACGCAAATGTGAAAACAATCCCCAACCAACATAGGACCGACGAAGAGCTCACGACTTACAGCCGTTCTACTTTTCGCGAGCATTCTTTCGCTGCAAAAACCAAGAGATGGCTTGAAAAATGTACTTTTCGGAAAAACATGCTCCTCCTTCTCGTTCTTGTCGGTACCTGCATGGTTATCGGCGACGGTATCCTTACTCCCGCCATTTCTGGTACGCATTCTTACGCTGTTAATCCGCGAAAAACTCGTTTTTTACTTCAGAAGAAAACCTTGCTTCTGATGTTTTCATGTCATATCTTGTCTGCTTCAGACCGTTTTTTGAAAAACGGTTTCACGGTTGTTATTTTTCGGGCCCTCGAATTACGTGGAGAAAAAGGGAGACCCGTCGGGCTTAACATTGAAATCAAAGATTCTAATAGATCAAATTCAAATCTTTATGCAGTTCTTTCAGCGGCTGGAGGGCTCAGGGTAAACCTTCCACACATAAGCAACGGTATTTTACTATTACCGTTCTTATTTGTTACCCGAAACATAACCATCATCGTATCTCTTTCGGTTTATGAGCTATAGCGCTGAATACGTAACGTCGTTAACGATCATCGGGTCGTGATTAATGGCAGGAGTCGTTGTTCTGGTCGCGGTCGTGATATTAGTAAGCTTGTTCAGTGTACAGCATTACGGAACAGATAGGGTTGGCTGGCTTTTTGCACCCATTGTTCTTCTCTGGTTCCTCTTCATTGCAAGTATCGGTATATACAATATCTGGAAACACGATGTCGGCGTATTGAAAGCTTTCTCTCCGGTTTATATCTATCGGTATTTTAAACGAGGAGGTCTGGATCGATGGACGTCGCTTGGAGGCATTATGCTTAGTATAACAGGTGACAGACTGAAAGAATTCTTGCCCTTAAAACTGTTTTCTCTCTTCTCTATGACTTCCAATTTGATTCTATCACTAAAATGTTCGCCTATTTTCTGCCCGTGAAACGCAGGGATCGAGGCGTTATTCGCTGATCTATCGCATTTCCCGGTCTCGGCCGTGCAGATTGCGTTCACGGTAATCGTGTTTCCTAGCCTCATTCTAGCATATAGCGGGCAAGCTGCCTATCTTAGGAAGAATCCGGATCACGTCGTTGATGCGTTCTATCGTTCTATTCCAGGTTCATCTCGATCTTCTTCAAGCTTTGTAATCGAAAGGGTCGATAAACGGGCGGATTGCCGAGGTTCATAGCGTTTCGTCGTGTTCTTAGATGTGTTTCCTTTTTCTATTCATGCAGGAAGCATATACTGGCCGACGTTCATCATTGCAACGGCTGCAGCCACCGTCGCGAGCCAAGCCACGATATCGGCGACTTTCTCGATAATCAAGCAAGCTTTAGCCCACGGGTGTTTCCCGAGGGTTAAAGTCGTGCATACCTCCCGAAAATTCCTCGGTCAGATCTATGTTCCCGACATCAACTGGATCCTCATGATCCTCTGCATTTCCGTAACTGCTGGATTCAATAACCAGAGTCAGATCGGAAATGCTTATGGTAAATTTCATTTTCCAATTTCTGATTTCCGATTTCTTTCGCTGTGTGGGTTTTGAACCAATCGATCGATCCACAGGGACCGCAGTTGTCATAGTGATGCTGGTCACGACGCTGCTAATGACGCTGATCATGATTCTCGTATGGCGATGCCACTGGATTCTGGTGTTACTCTTCACAGTCCTATCCCTCGTGGTCGAGTGCACCTACTTCTCGGCCATGCTCTTCAAGGTCAACCAGGGCGGGTGGGTCCCACTCGTTATCGCGGCCGCTTTCCTCATCGTCATGTATGTCTGGCACTACGGAACCATCAAGCGGTATGCCTTCGAGATGCACAGCCGAGTTTCCATGGCCTGGATTCTCGGCCTCGGCCCTAGCCTCGGGCTTGTTCGGGTTCCGGGGGTCGGCCTCGTCTACACCGAGCTAGCTAGTGGCGTCCCTCACATCTTCTCGCATTTTGTCACGAATCTACCTGCTATCCACTCCGTCGTGATCTTCGTCTGCGTCAAGTACCTTCCCGTTTACACCGTCCCCGAGGAAGAACGGTTTGTCGTTAAAAGAATCGGCCCCAAAACCTTCCACATGTTCCGCTGCGTCGCGAGGTATCATCTTTGATACCGAAATCTCTCTTATGATTCGGATTCCGACCCGCGAAACCTTAGCAGATTAGGATGATCTCGAAAACGTTTCGGCCCCTCGATTCATTCCATGATATCGGTTTTCGGCACAGGTACGGATACAGGGACTTGCACAAGAAAGACGATGACTTCGAGAAACGGCTCTTCGAGAGCTTGTTCTTGTTCGTAAGGCTCGAGTCGATGATGGAAGGTTGCTCCGACTCCGACGAGTGCAGCATCGCGGGGCAACAGTCCACGATCGAGGACTTGGCGACGACGGTGGATACGTTTGAGTCGATAGAGACGATGGGAACAGGGGGAAAGCGACGGGAAAGCGGAGGAGGAGGAAGGGAAGAAGACGAGATGGAGTTTGTGAAGCGAAGCAGAGAGGCGGGAGTGGTGCATATAATGGGGAACAACGCGATCAGGGCAAGGAGAGGGTCGAGGTTTTGTAAGAAAGTCGCCATTGATTATGTCTATGCTTTTCTTCGGAAGATTTGTAGGGAGCATAGCGTTATCCTCAATGTCCCTCAGGAGAGCCTCTTGAACGTTGGTCAGGTTTTCTATGTCTGATTTCCCTTTTTTTTTTTTTTTTTGAAACTGTATGTATAATAATGTAATCGCTCTCTCGATCAACAGTTACATTCAGGCCCAATTTTAGGCCCATGGATTGAGTATTGGATCGGTTATTCGCCGGGAATTGTGGTCACAACGACGGTCCTTAGACGGAATACAGGCTTGGACCGACGGGTGGTCTATAAAACTATAGGTTTTGAATGGTTGGAGTTTTTAGAATTTAAAAACCAAAAAAATTATCATTTAAATTTTCACAAAATTATTTTTTCTAAAAACTTGGAAAGCCAAACCATTTTAGTGGAAAAATCAAAGAAAAATCAAAAGTTACTTTTTTTTAGTTTTCAAATATTATAGAATCAAAAAACTAAAAACCAAAATCCAAAAACTAAAACTAAAAACCTAAAATAAAACTCATCCCCATTCAAATCCTAAATCCGAAACCCCATTCTATAAAAATCGGGTTTAAATTCAATACCTTATTTTTATTGATATTTATTTATTTATTTATTTTAAATAAATTGGATTTTCTGATCGACCAGAAACCCGATTTTAAACCCTATCCAAAAACCCAAAATTTGAAAATTTTCAAAATTGACACCCTATTTCAAATTCGCTGGAATGTGAGGTGGCGACCGCCGGAGAGTTATCAGAGAGATATGGGGCATTGAGCAAAGGACTTGTATATATATTCACCCCCAAACAATATTACATTCAATGATAAATAAGGCTATACACAAAACAGAACAATGGTCTGTTCTTGTTCTTTGTACAAAATCACAACATAAAACGCTCTTTCTTACCGTTCAACGTGAAACAAGCCGGGATTCCTTCACACTCAGTAATATTATACACAAAGCATATCTTTACACGAACAATGCAGATTAATAATGTATGTGTATATATATATATGTGATAATCACGGAAAATCCACGAGTGGATCGGTTATTTGTGGGTATGGTGGTGGTTCGGATGTGGCTTGGTCACGGCTGCAGAAGTGGACATGACACGGAGCCGCCTGGCTATCTCGGTGAAGGAAGGTCGAGCCATGGGGTCGGGAGCCCAGCATTGCTCCATTATTAACCTCCATTCCGAGTCGCAGTAGGTTGGCACCGTCGGTCTCAACGTGTTGTTCACTATCCCCCCTGCGTGTTCATTCACATCCCGAGGCTATGTCACAAACCGTAAACCCTAAATCCATAACCCTAAACTCTAAAAACTAAACCCTCTTCATTCATTCACGTCCCAAGGATATGTCATAAATCCTAAACCCTCTGCATCCATTCATGTGCCAAGGCTATGTCACAAACACAAAATGATAGCAAGACGGGAAACAAAGAATCCCGAAAGAGATTTTGAATTGCGTGTAATGCAAAGGTTGTGCTCTGACAGGAGATATTGATGGTAAATGTCTATGCATTCTCCATGATGCAAGTATAGCAAAAGAAACAGCTCACTGAGGGATGATGCATGGGTTATATCATAGAATAACTATCCAAAGTGGCTATTGTTTCAGAACCACCAAGAAATTTATCTCGAGTTTCACGAGCTAGTTGGTATAGAGAGAGAGAGAGAGAGGAGGTTAATACCTATTATGGCCCCGTAATGCATATTGGCGTAGGGCTCCTCACCGGTAAGAATCTCCCACAGGACGATACCGAAAGAAAACACATCAACCTATACATAAATGAAATACCCAGAGAGATATTACTCGAAAAATCATTCAGCGGGCCAAAATATGACATCGAGGGAAGCAGCCTAGTTTCAATATCTATCTGTAAAACCTAGTTTTCATTAGCCAACACAAGGCAAACTAACGGGATGTGGTGGAAACAGACCTTTTCAGAAACTTTACTGCTGCTACCGCTTAGTAGCTCAGGTGCCATCCAAGGAAGGGTTCCCCTTACACCGCCCGTGACCAAAGTATTTCTTTTTATCTTTGACAGGCCAAAGTCACCTACCTGCAGTAAAGAAACACTTCTTTTTTTGTAATCACATATACCAATTAACACCGAAAGTGTTGTATTGTTCCGATTTTTTATTTTTATGTATGATATGAAATTAAAATTACCTTGCATATTGGACGTGCGGGATCTTTCAAGTTGACAAGCAAGTTGTCACACTTCAAATCAAAATGTACAATGTTCTTCGAGTGCAGATATTCCATCCCAAAAGCCGCATCCATTGCAATGATAAGGCGCTTACGTCGATCAAGTTGTCTGGATTTCACACAAATTGCAAAAATGATAAACACAACTAGAGATTATAGGAAAACACAAATTTGGAAGACAAGTGTAACTTAACTACCTGTTGCTGAGGAGAACATGTCTAAGTGAGCCATTCACCATGAACTCTGTCACTGTAGCTAAAGTTCCTCCAGGTCCATCTTGCACAACTCCATAAAACGCGACAACATTTGGGTGGTGAAGCTTGGAGAGAATGTCAGCTTCATGCCAGAACTCCGAGGTCTGAATATTTGGTGAAAATTTGGATTAATAGTGGTTATAATAGAAAGAATAGTGTAAAATTTAGCTTCACAATCATGAAAATATATTTATATGAGGGGAGAACCACAATCTTGAAAACTACAGGCTTCTACGAGGAGTGAGAAGTTTTCGGTGATCAATGTTCTTGCGTGCTTGTTCAAATCCCGGATAGCTTGAGAAAGAAAGCTCACCAATCTCTCTTGCTCAGAGGACCGTCCAGTAAAACAGCTCTTCTTTATCCGCTTAATTGCAACATCTGTACCCCTCCATTTTCCGTGATAAACAGTTCCAAAGGTACCAGAGCCTAACTCCTTCAGTTCCTCCAAATCCTCATTTTTTATTATCTGCAATAGCAATAACCATTTCATTTCCCAGCAGCAGTTGAGAGAAAACCAGGAAATGAATTACAAGAGATCTTCAAAACTGCGATTATTTCAGTCCTGAGATGGCACATGAACCATAAACACCACAATGAGACATCCAGAAGAGAAGAAACCGAGGAAAGGATGCGCTTTAGGATATTTTAACTGATTTTTGGCAGAAATAAACAATCCTTGAGGTACTTGAGGGCTGCATTGTCAAACTGGTGTCACTGGGTATGAATATGGAGCAAACTGACATATATACCTGCAAAGACTTGATGTCTAATTCTCCTGCCACCAGGTCAATGAGAGGTAGACCAGTATTCTGCATATTCAATTGCCGCAACAAAGTCAAGCAAGACAATGAAAAAAAGGATAATGTCAAAACATACTCTTCTTTTTTCAAAAATATGAAACAGTGAGCTTACGACAGTTGCTGATATGATCCTGGACTCGGCTCGTGCTCGTGTCGATGCTCTAAGGATGTCCTCATCAGTTGCAGCTTCGCTTTCATCACCCTTGTGCTGTGACTGACCATAATCTTGTTGTGTTTCTATCATGTTGGAAGAAGGTGCAGCAGACACCTCCGGTTGGATATTTCCATCAAAGTGGATTTGATGATCAATATGACTTGAAGAAGCAACTTTCTCTGACTGCAAAGGTGGGTAGCTGTAATCAATAGGAGCCCCTCCAGTGTTTGTAAAGGAAGTCGGAAATCCCGGATGGTCCTGATCCATAAGGGATACATCTTTCCTAACAAACTCATCCTGTGCCAAATTTCGAAAATATGACCAATTCTTAGGCTCGTGATTATGAACATTTAAACTCACACCAGCTCCATCAACATGCAATGGACCTAACCCAGAGAAGTTCAGAGAATCTTCTTTTGCTTTCAAGAATATATCAGCAAGAAAATCACGGGGAAACCGATCACTTATATCAACAACTATGTCCCCTTGCTCTGGACAGCCAGGGCCAGTGGCAAGTGGTCCTTGTGGAGCGGCATTTGCTGAAGGCTCTGAGGAGCTTACTTGTTCCCGAGTGACAGGCTCCCAGTTTTTGTTTTCAGCCACATTATTCCACCCGAATTCTGGTGGCTTCGGAGCAGTAACTTGGGACTGCTCAACATAACTGCTTTCACCTTTTGTCAGCTGATTCAAGAAAGGTGCCTCATTTTGATTCATGGATCGTCCTTCAAAGTTTTCCTTGCTCCGCATGGCTCCGAGCTCATCCATGTGATGACCTAAATGCTGCTGTTCAGGTAGCCGTCCAATTGATTTTGGACTATCCTTAGAAATGGATGACTTCACCTCGCTGATCTTGCTACCCGATTCTTTACTCTTTTCAAACTGCGACGTCCTACCTTCACCAGTCCAGGGGCTTTCGGAAGATGGTTTGACAGGAAGAATAGAATGCACATTCTGGGAACCCATACTTGATTCATGAAACTTTTCAGCTGATTCACTGATTGGCTGGAAAGGATCAGAACTAGTCTGAGCCATCAGAAACTGAGAGCCAAGGGAATCATTAGATTTAGACAGGCGATTGGTTTCTGCTTGCTCCCGTGGAATGCGCTCAGAATGAAAAACCCTTTGATGACTCACAGGCTGGTCAATGTTGCTTACACTGGATGAGTCACCACCCAGACATAAATATCCAGATGTTGAGACTCCTCCAGGCAAGGAAGACAGATCTTCCTGATCGGGTTTCCTGCAATCAGTTGCTGCCTCAGAAGCACCTTGGTTCTGAACATGGTCCTGGGATTTTCTGTAACTGTTTTCTGGCGAGATGTAGGAACTCATATCTGGTGTTGAATTGGCTACTTGCATGACAATTGGAGTTATTTCCTTAGAGACTTTTCCCTGGACAGTACAATCACTAGACACTGAAGGAACACCATACTCACTAACCCTTGGGCTCGAAAATTCTCCCTTCGTGTTCAGTTCCTTCGCTGAAATATTGTTGTCCACGGAATATACATCAGCAGGCTCATTTACTTTTTGAAATGAGTCATCGCTTTTCAGTTTGGCCTCTTTAACCAAAAGTTCTGGATCTTGTGCACGAAACATTTGTTCCTCATGTAAAACCCCCAGCTGGATCTGATGCAGATGAGGAGGTGCTGGTGTTTCAAGAGGAGTTACAGAATTCAAAGCATAAGGGTTATAACCAGATACTGGTTGATGTGCTGAGCTTGCAATTGGAGCTGATGTATAAACCGGGTTGTTAACCACTCCCCCGCGGTGCACTTGCTGTCCTGGATAAGGCTGTGAAAATGGTTCCGTATCAGAAGGAAAACCCGCTCCTTGTTGAGAAGTTTGTATTGCTGACAAAGTTTCCTTTACTGCCAAAGGAGCAGAAGCGGCAACTGATTCAGAGGCAACTCGACCAACCTCTCTCTCATTGTTCATATTGAGTAACTCGTCCAAATTGTTCCCAGAAGCACTTGCTGTTCCAAAGGAGCTCTTTCTCAAACTTAGATCCATCCCATTAACAGCAACTACATACTGAACCTCAGAATCACCTTCCCCAGCTCCCACGCCAAACTGAGCCTCCTCTATATCACTGCTTGAGAATAAGAACATCCTGGGTTTCTGAGATCCTCCACTACTAAGTACATTACATTCTTCCATCATGTTTTGCAAATCCTCGTCACAAGATACAGAAACCAGAGCATCGAGATCCTCGTCAGGCAGCTGATATTTTATTGCATGTGTATCAGAGTAAATTTCCGACATCTTCTGCATGATTTCTGCATATGAATTATCCTTGCTAATACGAACAATCCGTGTTTCACCACCAACATACCTAAGCTTCCGATCCCTGGGACGGGGTAAGATTTTACCGCCAAAGCTACATAAGAACTTCACCTGATTCAAAGAGGTATCAGACACTCTAGAAGAACCGAAACTATGAATTCTTTGATTGCTGTCAATTTTTGCCGACGTCACTGGTACTGACTTCACCGGTTCACGGTAGCTCGAGCCTTCAAGGGTAGGAGTGGTCTTCCTCTCATTCTCAAGTGTATGGTGTTTTTCTGATGCATTAAGCACTGAGGTGTTAGACCCACTCTCTGACATGGGAGGAGCCATTCCCATTACAGCCCTTGAGTCAACATAAACAGGCATACCACTAGGCTCTCCATACACATTCGGGATGGATTGCTGTTTTGGAACTACCCTGTCTCTCATAAACTCAAAGGCAAATTCTTCACCAGTCTGAATCGAGTAATTCAATACTGGTCGAGGATGAGCTGAAATGACATAGTCTGGAGGTCGTACATTAGTGCTAATATTAGTCGAAGGATCATGGGAAAACCTCTGGTTTATGGAACCTAGCACCTCGTTTCTCGGATCAGAGGCAGTATAACGAACTTGTTCATAACTTCTTGCTTGGTCCATCTTTTCTTTCCCAATATGTCTATCCATTTAGTTCATGAGAAGCCTTGAAGAAGCTTGGAGGCAACCGCAAGTCAAATCTTCACATATGCATCCCTCCGTGAATCCATGATAATCCTAGGATTTGGCTGTTAAAAGGTCTTTTAACACGAACAAATCCAGTCCTCATAGAGGTGCCTGAAACACGAGAAGTTTTCTTTCGTAAATATGAACATGATCACATACGGATAAAACTATTTACCACATCTTGAAAATCATGCTTGATTCTCAGAGATCTTCGCTAACTTTTGGTAACATCATTCATTAATCACCTACCCAGAGGACCAGACCTAAGTAGATCGTGAATCGATCGTCCCAGACCAACCTGAATCCCAAGTTTTGACATTGAGCCATAAAACTAGCTTTGGTTATCAGTTGACAGAACTCAATTTAAATCCTTATCCACTAAAACCTTGATCAACATCAACTTACAAGGATCATTGAAATGAAATCTACTTCTTCAAAACCAACAGAGAACTAGACATATCTCCGACAAGAATCAAAATCGGGGAAAAAAACCTTACAAAGATCGAGCTGCAAATCCAGACCTGTGTCACCAAAATTCATATGTCCGAACAAAACTCGCGCCAAAACCCTGACCCTGACGAGGCAAAACCCGATCGAGCATTCAAGTCGTAGTAGTAGACGATCTGAGGCTGGTTGGAAAAAACGGTCCAAATTCAACCAAAAACACAACCGATCCAGAGAAACATCGCCATTAAAGACCAAAATAACTTCGCCAGAAGCAAAAGGAAGAAACTTGGGAGTAGGTTTTACCTGGAGAAGACGAACCATGGACTGACGCATCCGTCCTTTGACGACCGATAAGAAAAAACGATGAAAAATCCTTACTCCCTATTTAAGGACTAATCTCTCTCCCTCTCTATTTACAGCAGAGTTTCTACTTTTTTTTTCTTTGTATGTTTTTTATTTTGTAGTTTATTTAAAAAAATATTTGGGCATTTATACGGAAAATAAGCTTTTTTTCTCCTAATTTGAATATTGTGAAAATAAATTGAAAACGGTATTGGTCATACTAGAACAAATTTATATTTTTCACCCCTCAATTATAGAAAATGAGTATTAAAATCACTAACAACAAACTACTAATACTAAGATAATCGCATTAAAATATTAATTTTGATAATTTTTTAAATAAAGTAAATGTATGCGCTTCTTGATGAAAGTTCTAATCCTTTGGTACGAGATTATCAAAAAAAAAAATTTTAAAAAAAGATTCAATCACTAATCTTGAGTTTCCTCGTCCTTCCTTTAAATCTTATTAATTAAAAATAAATTTTACAATAAGACAAAGTTTTGTTAAACCTAAAATAAATCCTTTTTAAATTTTGAATGTCTTATTTATTTTAGCATCTCCATAGTTGAACGTTGGTGTATAATAAATTCCAATGGATCCTTAATATAAATTACGTTTTTCTTTAGTTTCATCTTCAATTAGCAATGTCCGTAGCAAAATTTAAAAAGGAAAAAATTTGTTTGAAATATCACATGTTAATAAATGTTGTTATATTTTGTTTGTGATATTTTATTTTTTAAAAAACGAAAATATAGTTATATGATAAAAACAAAGATTAATCTAATTATTATTATAACGTATACCAAACCTTAAATATCCAAAACACCATATTTGTACTGAAAAATTGAAAACCATAGTTGTAATTATTGGAATGCAAATTATCTTTTCATATCATATCTAAAAAAAGGAAAAATCATTAGTTGTTTTTTCCCTAAATTTTATAAGTCCATCTGATTTTTTTATTCCTTTTAAATCTTTACTAGTAAAATTTAGGAAAAAGATCTTATAGATTTTGGTAATGAAGATTGAAATGGAATTTGGATGTGCCATTGTGGAAAGATATATAAGTTTAATTTTGGGAAAAAAGAATAGATGAAATGATGAGATAATTTAATATGGAAAAACAATTAACGAAAATTTATACAGAAGGAAATCCTGCCAAGGAAGCATTCTTCATTGGATCATAGATTCTGATGGATAAGGATTAAGGGAATTAAATGTGTCAAATAATTAATCAAAAATTAGCAAAAAAAATATTATGAAATTTTTAGTGGAAATTAAGCCACTTGTATATAATTTTGCATTTTCTAAATTTCATTTTTGGCATAAAACCCAAGACCTAGAATTCCGACAAGAGATTAAACAGTCGCGAAGCAACAGCATGTTGGGTCCCGCCGTCACCTCCTCCTCCCCCTCCGCTTCCCTCGCATCCGCCGCCGCCGCCGCAGGTTCTCGCGCCAAATTATTCTGCAACGATCATCGCCAGAAAACGGCCGGTTCTTCTCTTCGTTGCCAAACCGTAAGCTCTCCTCCTATATCCATTTACGTGCTCTGTTTCTGTTTCTTGTTTTTGCTGAACTTCTTATGGTTAGTGCCGGCATTGTCTGTGACCAGGTTCGCTCTATTTCAGTTCGTCCGAGCTTCTTCGCGATCCGAGCCATGGCGGAATCTCAGACTGTTCCGAGGAGTCAGCCGCAATCGTCTGATTCCTCTGGTTATTGTCTTTTGAGCTCTGAATTATTGAAGTTTTGGTCAATTTGAGTTCTTTATCGCAGTTTCGATTCAGGAACCGATTAAATTCAACTTTATACGGAATCCCTTTGTATATTTTTTTTTCTGGGCATTTTTCATTTCAGGCAAAAAGCAAGCTTTGATATCTCTGTCCGACAAGAAGGACTTGGCTTTTCTCGGCAATGGTCTACAGGAATTGGGGTAGTTCTCCCAATGAAATTTTTAGTGTTGTTTGTGTTTAGGATATGAATCGGTTCTTGTCTTCTTCCCTTTTTTTCCCCCAGCTTTCTCATACTTAATTTCTTGTTTATTGTTTTTGCGATTGATAGATATACCATTGTTTCCACTGGAGGAACTGCCTCTGCTTTGGAGAATGCAGGAGTCTCAGTGACTAAGGTGGAGACTCTCACTCATTTTCCAGAAATGGTAAGTTTCTTTTCAGTTCATCGATCAAGTTTCGGTCTTCCAGTCTCGTGTTTCCATTTTGCACTTGTCGATATTCGTCAAATCTTAGAACGAAAAAGGCTTGGCTTGATGCTCTCGGGTATATTTGTGGAGTTTTGAATCATTATGCAATTGTTTTTCTAAAGTTTGCTTTTATAACCCGAGCCTTCCTTTCGTTGCCCTTGTTAAGCTTGATGGTCGTGTGAAGACTTTGCACCCGAACATACATGGGGGTATCCTTGCTAGACGAGATATTGAGCGTCATATGGAAGCTCTCAACGAGCACGGGATAGGTGAGTTGTGAAATTTGCATCCGTTCTACATTTTCCCGGCTTTTTTTTTTGTTAAAACTCATTGGCAGTATCGCATTGATGCTGAACTGTTTCTCTACTCTGTTCAACCTCTTTGTTCCAGGTACATTTGATGTAGTGATTGTCAATTTGTATCCGTTTTACGAAAAAGTTACGGCCCCTGGTGGAATTAGCTTCGAGGATGGAATTGAGAACATTGACATTGGTGGTCCTGCTATGATTAGAGCTGCTGCTAAGGTATGTGATACTTGTTTCTACATACATAGATCTATTATACCTTATTTCGGGGTTCTTAATGTGATTATTATTGAACAGAACCACAAGGATGTTCTCATTGTTGTCGATTCAGAAGATTATCCTGCTGTTTTGGAATGCCTAAAGGGGGGCCAGAATGATCAGCAGTTCCGAAGAAAACTGGCGTGGAAGGCTTTTCAGCATGTAGCTGCATATGATTCTGCAGTTTCAGAATGGTTGTGGAAGCAGACTGAAGGGCGTATGTATTACATTATCTGCCTTACTTTTTACGTGTTCGTCTTAGAATGAGTACATAAAATTTAAGGTTTTGGGTTAGATAGGAAGAAGACCTTTGATATTTTATTAATTTCATTGCCAACTTAGGATATTCTTTAGTTTTTTGGGCTCACACCTCAGGATTCTAAATGTTCATGAGAAAATCAACTGCAAAGTTATGAAATTTGTTTGGATATCTTCCTATGTTATGATTGACTTCTTGTATTGATAATGTTCTTTGCATTTTTTTTGGTTTCCCAGAAGAGAAATTTCCTCCCAGCTTTACGATTCCGCTTTCGCTCAAGAGTTCTCTTCGTTATGGCGAAAATCCTCACCAAAAGGCTGCATTTTATGTTGACAAGAGCCTCGGTGAGGTGAATGCCGGTGGTATTGCCACCGCGGTTCAGCACCATGGAAAGGTGAACAAAACTTCGAGCAACCATCATTCATGTGCAGTCATTATGTCCAATTCGTGGGGCATTTCTTGTTTAGCTTGCCCTTTCCGTTTCTGTCTTTTATTCCTAAATTTTTGTTAATAACATTGTGCAGGAGATGTCATACAATAACTATTTAGATGCTGATGCTGCATGGAACTGCGTTTCGGAATTCGAAAACCCAACCTGTGTAGTTGTGAAGCACACAAATCCTTGTGGTGTGGCTTCCCGTAACGATATTCTCGAGGCTTATCGTTTGGCTGTAAAAGCAGATCCAGTTAGTGCTTTTGGCGGTATAGTAGCCTTCAATGTCGAGGTTGACGAGGTAAGCTAGCATTCATAAGAAAATTCTCTCATTGTTGAACTGATATAATAATCTATAGGTACATTGAAAGAAAGTGTTATAAATTCAGTTATTCTGCTCTGTTCTGTTCTATCGGTCTAGGCTCTTGCAAGGGAGATCCGAGAGTTCAGGAGCCCAACGGACGGGGAAACTAGGATGTTTTACGAAATAGTGGTAGCTCCGAAATATACTGAAAAGGGTCTTGAAGTGCTGAAAGGGAAATCGAAGACACTGAGGATCCTCGAGGCTAAAAAGAACAAAAAGGACAAGATATCGATCAGACAAGTGGGAGGAGGATGGTTGGCTCAGAATTCAGACGATGTAACCCCAGAAGATATCAGTTTCAACGTTGTCTCGGATAAGTCCCCGACTGAAAGTGAACTCTCTGACGCGAAGTTTGCTTGGCTCTGCGCCAAGCATGTCAAGAGCAATGCCATTGTGATAGCAAAGGTCGGGTTTTTTTCCAATAGATTTTTTTTTTTTGGTTCAAGGAGAAGATATGATCTGATGGATTGGGTTTTGCTTTACCCCTTGTTTGCGAAGAACAATTGCATGCTGGGGATGGGAAGTGGACAGCCAAACCGTTTGGAGAGTCTGAGAATAGCTTTCAGGAAGGCTGGTGATGAAGCCAAAGGAGCTGCCTTGGCCAGTGACGCCTTTTTCCCATTCGGTATTCTCTCTCTATCCTTCAGACCAATCTATATATATATGTGTGTGTGTCAGTGTGTGTGTGTGTGTGTATAAATTTTGTGATATATAAACGGAAACTTGTAAAAACGTGTTTTGTTGTTTGGTTTGGTTTGGAATGGAAATGGAACAGCTTGGAAGGATGCGGTGGAGGAAGCGTGTGAGAAGGGGATAGGAGTGATAGCAGAGCCAGGAGGGAGCATGAGGGATAATGATGCCATTGATTGCTGCAACAAATACGGCGTCTCTTTGCTCTTCACCACCATCAGACACTTCCGACATTGATCCAATCCTTCCATCCCTCAATCTATCTTCTAAAATAAGGTTGTTTTTTTTTTTATAATAATATCAAAGTTGTTATCTTTATCAAGAAGAATATGTCTGCTTTTACGTCTTGTAAGATTGAGTCCTGTTTTTTGTACTCTGTTCCCTCCCAAATAAAAGTCACAAAAAAAAAAAAGAAAATCAGTCCAGGTATCTCAACTTTGCTTCATCATCATGTATAAGATGAATCCACCTATATATATATATATATATATATATGACAGAGAGAAGGGGAGTAGGTCTTTGTCTAGCCGGAAAAGAAACGTAAATCAATGTGCAGAAGTGACAAAAAAAAAAGAGAGAGAGAGAAACCCTTCAGAGGGAGATTTCACAAGGAGCATGAAATGTTCTTCCTCGGCATATGGGTTCTAGGTTTTCTCCGGCGTATGAACACAGTGGTGACACCTCTACACCTGTTTCATTATCCACACACACACACACACACATACATCATTATATATGTGTATACGTATATTATGGGAGGAGGGAGAGGTTTAGGTGTGGTACCAGTTGCGTATAAGGGGACAGAATGAGTGAGAAAGCCACCAGCTGCAATGACCCAACGAGTGTGAAGCCTCATTACCAGAAGCCTTGCACTCTCTGGTGTGTCAAAGCTCGACCCGTTTGCGTTCTTCACCGGCGCAAACTCCTCTTCCCTCAGTACCTGTCACTTTTTCCATCCATCATCCACTCTCCCTCCAATCGTTCTTTCGATACACTCTTGCTTTGTTTTCTATATGTGTGTGTGACGATGACAGGAATTACGATACCTCGAAAAGGGCAGTCGAAGGAGCGTATGGGAAGGAATCGAATATGAACTGCTCTAGCTTCAGTCCCGTCGTGAGCCCGTTCACTGACGCGATCTTCTTCTCCGCCAAATGGTACCTGCCAAAAAAAGTTTCACCATCCCTTTTAGTGCTTTTTACATCTTCTATCGATAGCTTTCGATATATTATACTAAGAGAAGAACTCACACGCTCTCTTTCTCCAGGCCGTTTGCCACTTGATTAAGGAAATCCACAGTGAACATGTGTAAGCACACCTGAAAATGTACTTAGACTTAACCAACCTAATGAATCATTATAAAAACCATTTGAAAAAAAAAATGAATGGATGGTGCATGTCTGGAAAGGAAAAGGGTTTTTACGTTACTCCAACAAAATCGAAGACGGCCTGTTACTTGATTAATTGCAGAGGCCAGAGACTGGTCGAGCTCACTGTACTCAACTACAGTCAAAGGTCCACCTTTTCCTCTCCTCACAAACACTCCCACCTTTTCTTGGGGATAAGCCTTTACCATCATCATATAACATGAAACAAGCTCCAATAATGAATCATTATAAAAACCATTTGAAAAAAAAAATGAATGGATGGTGCATGTCTGGAAAGGAAAAGGGTTTTTACGTTACTCCAACAAAATCGAAGACGGCCTGTTACTTGATTAATTGCAGAGGCCAGAGACTGGTCGAGCTCACTGTACTCAACTACAGTCAAAGGTCCACCTTTTCCTCTCCTCACAAACACTCCCACCTTTTCTTGGGGATAAGCCTTTACCATCATCATATAACATGAAACAAGCTCCAATTATGAATTCCAAAGTAGCAACCCGCATCTTTAAAATACAGAAGACCCCCCCCCCTCCCCGAAGTGAACTATACACTTTAGTCGAAAACTAGCATCCCCTTTGAACGCATAGCAAGAATTAAGATTACCTTCCGTACGACCTTTGCAGCGGAAGCCACCCCTTTGTCGATGAAATACCCCAGAAAAGTTGGATCAGCTACACGAACCTGATTTCCAAGATTACGATTCTAAATTCTAATACTTGAGAAGATTTGAGAATTGTGATTAACGGGCGGAAAGAGAGCTAACCAGGACGTTGTCTACACCATAACAATCCACGTACTTTACCCCCCTGGAAGCCATGTCCTCTAATAATCTCGAGCATTTCAGAGCTGATAAGCATGTGCAACAATGTAAAACCAGTCAGATTAGAATCAGAAAGATAACGATGGACCAATTTAGATTGTTAGAACAGAAATAACTAGAAGATGCACCTGCATAGACTCCCCCATTTCCGTCTGGAGCCTTGGCTACCTGTGTTTCGAAGAAGAATACCCTCATGCAGTTAGCGACTTTAGTGAAATAGCAGACGATAAAATAAAAACCCGAATCACTTTCGAATGTATATAAGCTTGATCACGAAAGACAGACATACTCCGAAAGGTGTTTCCATGATGAATTTCCCATCCTTTGATATGCAAGGTAGGGTACCTTGTTGGAAGAAAGTAACCTACGACAGAGTAATCAAGATTCAACAGATACAAAAGAAATAACAAATGACAATGAAATAAAACAATACAACCAGAAGCCATCTTACTTGATCTGGTTCAAGGCCAAAGTACTTATGACTCGAAAAAAATTTTCTAGTAGGTTCATCGGTAAATGGGCTGGTCATTATGTACCAGTGTACTGTAATTGAGCGAGTTGTTCCTGTAGGTGATATATATTTTGTGAACAAATTGTCAAATATGATACATATAAATGGAAACCAGAATGATGAATCTTACCCTCACTCATTGTTTGAGAAGCAAGCCTTTGGACACACAGAATTTTCTCAGCTTGAATCTGGAAGAGAGACTTCCCCGATGGCAGTCCAATATCTAAGAGGAAATAAAAATTATGGTAAAGTAGCAGAAGACAACTAACAGTAACATACAATGTAATAAAATGCAGTCTCCATTCTGTAAAAAGAACAAAAATACTGAGTTCCGCCACTGGAGCCAATCAGGAGGTTGCATAAATTGCACATCTAAACACCTTAGTACGAACCCATCACATGTTTAGACATGAGAAAGACTTCATTTCCTACTTGCACGTGGACAAGAGCTAGGACGGTATCAGACAATTGTACTAATGTTCAAAATTTGCAGACCCAGAGAACTGACATGAAACTGATGCTATATGACAATTGACAGATGTATCCTAAGAAAGCTACTGACGAGAACAATAAAGAATTAAAAACGGAGTACTCACTGAAACACCCTTTTGGATCTGAACTTCCAAGCCTTGTACCCTGCATTGATTTCATAATCATAACCAGATCATTTTAAGACCTAAACTTTCCAAGAAGGTACGAAACAAACACTAGAATGTGGCAGAAAAAAGGCAACCAGAAATTTAAAAATAGTCTTGCCCTGAAATCAATCACGGATCATGGTAATATACTGCATAAACACTGCAATGAGGCAAGAAGAGGCTTCTGGAAATTCAAAACTAGTATTTTGATGAATGGTTATAACTCCAAAACTAGCTTTGCCATCAAAACATAATTCAATTTGCTGGTCAGCTTCTACATAGATAGAACATAACGTAGACGGTTGAGAAGAGTGACCCCATTCCATTCATGGGTCAACTAAAATCAATCCGTACAAGTACCAAACTCGTTTTCCTTGTACAAGAGAAAGGGCAAAAAGAAGAAAAGACAGTACCCCAGAAAGATACTCCCATCGTAATTAATGGTGAAGTAAATAATGACCCAACAATTCAATTCCAATCTTTACATCAGATTTGAACCTTCCTTAAATCGCACGTAACAGTTCACTTCACTCAAAATGTAGGAAAAGATTACAGAATCCTAGAAAGCATCTTTCATGTCACGTGATAAGCACCCTCGGGAAAACCTAAAGCACAAGCCTTTTTCATGTCATTAGGTGAAGAGTTCCTTCGGGAAATTACTATTACTTTAAACTTTTCTAGAATGCACCGACAGAGAAAGATTATTAATGTAACCATCATTGCCCAAATAACCCTTTATGATCTCTACTTTAAATGCACCGACCTTACCACAAAACAGGATTTTACACTTCCAGCTTTTGATGTTATGTAATCAAACACGCACTAATTACGTAACATCACCACATGCATTGTTTAAGAAGTTAGGCAGCATCATTCCGAAATAATGCAGCAGAAAGAGGAAATGCTGGTGAATTATTAGTTTCCCCTCTTCAATCGAAGTGGAACTCCCATAAGATACAAAAAGGTGGTCCAAATTGCACAATGGAAGGAACCCAAAAGAGGAATCAATGCTTTATTCACAAATCAACACAAGAAAACAAGGAGATTAGTATTTGGACTATGAAGTACCTGTCCACCAGATAGAAGCACCACAGCCAGTTTTCCTTCATAGATAGCCTTCAATCCCATATTCCACCATTTTTCTCTGTCTTCCATCGTTCTCTCCTCCACCGTCGACACGCAATTCTCCGGCACCGGCTCAATTGCGGCCACGGGCAAACCTAGCAAGTGAAACAGAGCTGGATCAATCTCAACGCAAAGAGATCCAAATCGAAGAGCAATGCATGTCATTGTCAAGTAACTTCAACAATTTGATAGGGGAAGACAAGCATATGTGAAAAAAAAATTAACCTTGAGATCGGAGTGAGCATCTGATGATGCGATCTATTCTGGGAAGATCCAAACTCTGCGAGACAATAAAACCGATCAAACTCATTGAAAGAAAGAAAGAAAGAAAGAAAGATAGAGCCAAAAACATTCGTCACCAATCCGAATTTTACGATGCAACAGTGATCCACGATTCGAAGAAAAACCAAGTGAATACGCAATCGTTAGCACCAATCTTCAGCTACTAAGCTGAGCTGAGGAGATTCAAACAACCAGAATAATCGCTAAACACATTTCGAAAAAATCCGAATCTCTGACAAAATCTGGAAATGCAACTTTATAAAAAAATTCTGGAAATGCAAAAACGTCTGATCTGATTCACCTCAATTTCCTTGACGAGGAGATCCCGCTCATCCGGTGAGAGCTCGTCCCAGAGAGCAAAAACATCTTCCTGACCGTAATCCTTGAGCCGCTCCACTAAAGCTTGCGGCGGAGACGCCACCGCCGACGTCGCCGTCACAGCAACAACAGCTCCGTTCTCTCCCTCCGTCGCCGTCGGTTCCCTCATCCTCTCCCTCTGTAGATCTCAACCCAATCTCTCTCTCTCTCTGTGGTATTGGATTTGGAAGTTGGTCGGTTTTTTGGAAGGACTTATAGAGAAAGAGGAAACGCGAAGCGGAAGAACGAACAGTGGCGAAGAAGACAAGAATCAAATCAAGCAACGTGTAACAACCGGCGCGATAGTTAAATGACGAGACTGCCCTTTCCTTCAAAGGCTCATGCATTTATTTTTTTGTCAGTTTCCTCCGACATTTTTTTGTTGGGAAAGCCTCCCTCTGATTCCGCGGGTTTCTCGCTCCTCGGAATTCGTATTCTCTTATTTATTCCAATAAATTTTTTTGACAAGTTAATCATAGTTTTTTTTTTATAATCCGAAATTTCATCGAGCCTTTGATCCGACTAAATCTTTCAGAAGACCGGAAAAATTAGATAAATGCACCTCCATATATTTGGATTTGAACCCAGAATAAAAGCATACTTATATTCTCTCGCCATTGGACCACTCAAATTTGGGTAAATTAATCACATTGATAGATTCTATAATACTTTTTGAGTTTTTTCCATACCCAATTAAAAATATCACGATTTATTTACTTATTTATTGAAATTTATAATAATTATTATCTGAATTTAAGTAAAATCTTGTCTCGTGCGTAAATAAATCATAAGATAAAAATAATATTTACAAACAAATTCTGAAAGGTTTATTAAAAATGGTTTGTCTCGGTTTACTATCACCAAACTTGTATTTATTTTCTATTATCTTTATAATCATATTTTTTATGTTTATTTTATTATGATATACAGACTATAATGAAATAATGATATTGAAATAGAAATGTGTCTTTCGTGATCTGGCATAGTGGTAAAAGAGTCTATAATTTTCTAAGAAATCATGGGTTTAATTTTACTCTCTAACATGAAAATTTATACACTAATATATAAATATAATTAGTGTGTATATCTATGGCATTTACTAGTTCATATGGGAAACTATGCCAAAGACAAAGAGTGTCATTATTTGTTAATTAGGGATCTTATTGTACATTGAAATTGTATATAGACCATAAATAAAATTTGGGCATGTTCCTTAGATGCCAATGCAATGTAGCTTTCAGCCACCTAAACTGGTTTTTGTTATATTTAAAAAAATGAAATTAAATTCAATAAAATTTTCACTTTGGTAGAGATATGTAGTGAAATTTGGACAAGTGTATCAATCGGTTATGGGTCTGAGTTGGGCCCATCCATGCATGCTTCCCACCCAACATATTAGTTTATTAGTCACAACCGTATGTATGTACGTATATACACATACATCGCATACTCCAACATATATTAAATGTAAATTATTATGTCAATTAACAAAAGGGTTCATATATAATTTGAGGGCCAGAGCCGTCATTATGTCCAGAAGTTTAATTTTTTTTATATAGTATAGTTATTTAATTACTCTTATTGAGGATCATATTATATAGCCTTCTCATTCATGTGTTAATTCAAAAAAGGAATATTATTTGTGTATGCAAATGGTTGACTGCATCTTGGACACCAAAAATAAACATATGTCCTTTTCGTTATTGGTTCAAAAAGGGCTCATTAATTCATTATGGTTTTATTTTATTTATTTTTTTGGACGGATGCTGACGGAGAAGATGAAGGCAAGTGAAGCTTATACATCATTCATTAATAAATTATTTTATTTATTTATTTATATCATGAAAACCCCAACTACTATCTTTCTTTCATGTGTTAGCTGGATAAATCCCGTGGGAGAAAAATCAACTGTAACAGACGGACGACAGATGAACGACTAAGAAATTGAACTTTTAACCTCTCGATATATTGACCATATTCGATATGTTGACCATATTCTTTACCAGTTTACCTAGATTTTTTCTTATTTTATTTTGTTGTCACGTATATTAACTAAATTATCATTGGAATATAAATTTTATAAAGAAGAAAAGGTTATTTTTTTTTAAATTATATATATATATATATATATATATATATATATTTATAACAGGTGACCCCTTAATTACATGTGCATCGGAGCGTCGATGTTTACATGGGAAAGTCGTTGTTTATTAAATTAACATGAGACTTGAAAATGATATATCGTTGTTTGGACGCACAAAGGTTAACACTTTTGGTTTTATGTACTTTATAATTGATAATATAATAATCCATAGAGAAAGCCCACTTTAAAATCTTTTCGGCCCACTAAAAAATTATAATCTGATTTGTCACTGTGCGGATTTATCAAGCATTCTCTATTGGATGATGGCAGTCGGAGAAAGGGTGCATCTCATAGGGCCCCTTTTTATTAAATTATCCATATATATATATATATATATGTCTTTATTAAATTTTATTACTATTTATAACTTGTTATATTCTGTTATATTGATTTGATTTTATATAAATTAAGTTTAATTAGATTTATATAATTAGTGACATACACATAATCTTTCATCCATATATTCGTACCCATTACATTTTATAATGTAAAACGTCCTCACAAAATATTTTAATAAAGTATCGTCTATGGTTGGTTTATTTGAAAAATACACAATCATATGTAGAGGGGAATTGTTACGGAATTATACAAATTCGATTCGTAATTTGGGTCTCGTCGGGAGACGAAAGGGGACGAAGACAAGACCAAGTTCACGGTAACTTAGTTTCTACTACCATCCATGTCATGTTCAATAGTTTTATATATTTTAAAATAAATTATTATCTATTAATTAATTTTTTTTACCACGTCGTAATTATTCTATTTAGTTGTTGTAATTTTTGTTTTTGTAAAAGTTCCTATGACATTGATGAAAATAATTTTGAATCCACAATCTAAAGGCAAAGTTAATTTGAAATATCTTTCTTTTATTTCTAAGATTTGGTACTTGTAAATAATTCATCTGCTCATTGGATTTATTTCAAAGGAAAGTCCTTTTTTGTTATATGATTGTTTCATGAAAAAAATATAAAAGATCATTATTTCACCCTAAATAAATTGGGATTTATTTTAAAATAGATAAAAATCATAAATAATTACTTTAATCTTTTCCCCAAACGAGTTTATTGTCGTATCTTATATTCTATAACCATTTTTAGTTAAAATTTTTTTTCTAACAAACAATAGGGTGAGGTTAATTCTCTCGTATCATATATTCTATTTTATTATGTCATCCCATGATCCCGAATAAGGGTGGATATTTCGGTACGTTTCTTCAAAATTCGAGTTGTACCACACCGAAAAATATATTTTTTTATTATTCGAATCGTCTAAAATTTCCGAGGGATATTATATTTAGAAAACCAAAATTTTTAAAATCAAATCGAAGCGAACCAAATTTTAAAAAATTTAAAAAATCATATTTTTTAATAAATTTTCTTAATTAAAATCAGAATCGATCTAAACTGGAATCGAAACCGATAATAATCAAATATAATATAACAACTGATCGATACATATTTTTTTTAAATCTCGTCCAAACCGAACACCAAAAATCACATTCTACTGCCAAGTGGACACCTTTATGAGATATGATTGAAAAGAATAGCAATTACTTTTTATTTTCACGGTGACATACGATTTAATTTACTCCAATTCCAAATGGAGCATTATCAAAAATACCATTACTTTGTTATTTTGACTTTAATACATATCTTTTTTACAAGTGTAACCATGTGATTCATGTTATCCGAAATATAGTGTAGTCATATGTTGATCTCATTGCTCATAACGTTAAGTTTATTATGTTTTAATCAAATGATTAGTAAGATATACAAAATATAAAATAATAAATGAGTAGATTACCATAAATTTAATATAATAATATAATGACATTCCAAACATATCGGACGGGAAAGCAAAAGTTTGGGCCATTATTGGGCCTTAAAATAATGAAACATCTCAGAAAATAATCATGCAGCTCGACCCATGTGGTTGGATCCGACCCGACCCGACCCGTGTCTGCGCCACTTCGGCTTGCTCGGAGCTCAAGAAACGTCCCCTTCTTCTTCCTCTCTTCATTTTGGTTTCTTCTCTGCTTGCTTCTCTTCTCCTACCTTCCGTTTCGAACTTTCTTAGTGTTTCTGTTCGATTAAGGTATGTCTCGGATCTCTTCTTCGCGTTGATCTATTCGAGATCTAGGGTTTCGCTAGCAGGCCTGGAACTGAAAGACTAGGGTTTTATCGAGATTTTGAAGTATTGGTATCCTTTGGTATCTGTTCTAGCAATTATAGTTTGAGTTTCCGTCATTCTGTTTTTTTCTTTGGTTCTCTGTTAAGTCGTAAAAGAATCGGGTATAGGCCTGATGCCGATTGATTTCGCCTAGACAAGGATTCATAGTATTTAAAATTCGGAGGAAACACAGATGGTGAAGCAGCGATTAGAGTGTGAGCTCAGAATCTGACGGAATGTTACTGTATCTCTGGAAAACAAACGATGGATGAACAAGTTTGATTCACCATTTGCGATCTGTTCTGTAGTTTTGTGCTCAGAGTGGGTAAATCAGTGTTTAAGATGAACCCTCGTCCTCATGCTTCTGTAGGATTTGACAATGAAGCTTGATACAAGTGGGTTTGAGTCAACTCTGCCTATGTTTGGCGGAAACACCGAGACCGAGATGCTGGATGGGTTGTCTTCTGTGCCCTCCTTTGATCTTCCCTTCACAAAAGATGTGAGATTTGGTGGCTTGGTCTTAACTTTATTTGGATTGGCCATGTAATTTGGCCGAAAGGTCTTCCCTTTTCTGCCATCTAATTGCTTGATTGTCTTTGTGGATTTCAGTTTGATGGGTTTCAAAAGGAAGCTGTACAGATGGTGAAGCCTGCAAAGGGTACAACCACGCTCGCATTTATCTTTAAGGAGGGTGTCATGGTTGCAGCTGATTCTCGGGCAAGCATGGGAGGATACATCTGTATGTTATCTTTAACATTTGTTCTTTGCGTTTACCACACATTTAATTGTCAGGCACTGTGGAGGCTTCTTCATGTTTGGATTGATATCAAGTGTGACTCTGGCATAAACATGATGACAAAAGAGATTGATGAGCTTTTCGTTTGCTCTAATTCTGATGTTGGGTTGTCTGTAAAATTTCTAATCTCATTTCTGTTAGCCAGCCAGTGTTGTTTAAACAATAGCAGAGAGACAGTGTTTGATGCCCGATCTTTTGTTCCTGTTTTCCCCCTTTGCAGCATCGCAGTCTGTGAAAAAGATTATCGAAATCAATCCTTATATGCTTGGAACAATGGCTGGAGGAGCTGCCGACTGCCAGTTCTGGCACAGAAATCTTGGTATTAAGGTACCTAATTTATGTTTTTCTTTGCGATCTCTACCGATGATTGTGGTCTGATACAAACTCTTAGTGTTTTCGTTGTCTTCTGTTCTGTGAGGGTTATGTGTGTTGCATTTCAATGCAGCTTTGTAAATTTCCTAACTCTGTGTGGTTAAGTATGTTGGAACTTGGAACTAAGATCTGATCTAAAGTGATGATCCATCTGTCAATCCAGTGCCGTCTACATGAACTGGCAAACAAGAGGAGAATCTCTGTTCCAGGAGCTTCAAAGCTACTGGCAAACATGCTCTATTCATACCGTGGAATGGGACTCTCCGTTGGGACAATGATCGCTGGATGGGATGAAACTGTAAGAAAACAAACCAATTTTGTTTAATTCTTCGTTCTTCCTGAAGTGGGATGACTTGAAACTCTAAACCCATTTCATCGATTACTCTCCGATTGGAAACAGGGTCCCGGGCTATACTATGTTGACAACGAAGGAGGACGGATCAAAGGAGACAGATTCTCAGTCGGGTCCGGTTCACCATATGCCTACGGTGTCCTCGACAGCGGGTAACGTCTCTCTTTGTCAAGAATCATCCTTTCTGATTATTTTCCCTTTTCCCGCCGAAGTCCTGCCTGACCCTTCTATTCTCGTCTTTGTCAAGGTACAAATACGATATGACAGTTGAGGAAGCTGCAGAGCTAGCGAGGAGATCCATCTACCATGCCACTTTCCGTGATGGAGCCAGTGGTGGAGTCGCTAGCGGTACTATATCCCTTATATCTCCCAATTCCTTTCTTCTCGTGTGTATGTATATATACACACATCAAATTTGAAGATTCTGGTTATTAGCTCATAGTTTTGGTCCATATATATGTATATATATATACGAATCAGTGTACTACGTTGGACCTAATGGATGGAAGAAACTGTCGGGAGATGACGTAGGCGAGCTCCATTACAAGTACTATCCCGTGGCTCCCAGCACTGCGGAACAAGTGATGGCTGAAGCATGAGGAGATTGTGTCGGTAAAACCTTTTCGATCTTTTTTTTTTGTTGAACCAACCCGGTTTTCGTTTAGATTTACTGCCATTGTCGATCTTGAGATCCTAACTGGTGATCCTTAGTTTATGACAAACTTCATGTTTCTTGTGTGTGATCTTATAAACATGCCCTGTTTCTCTTAGTTCTTGTCAGTTTCGTCCATCGTATAAAATCTGAAAGAATGATGTTTGTTTTTTTTAGCACCTGAAAGTTGATTTTGCAGGGAAATTTGGTTGATTAGAACTGAATTTCTTCAAGAAAGCAGTATTCCAATATTGTAAATTTGCACAAACAAAAAAAAGAACTCCGAAGAATCTAATTGGGTTGGGAGTTAAGGTATACGGTTCGGGTTCGATTCGAGTGTCTCGTGGTCCGGTTCAGGTCTTTCGGTTTTATAAGAATATAATCATTATTTAATATTGGGTTTTCATTCCGTTCGGTTTTGATTTTATTAAAAAAGAAAATTTTGATTTTTTAGATTTTTTAAAATTTGATTCGGTTTTGTTATAAAAAATTGAGTTTTTTAAAAATAATATTGTTCGAGAATTTTGAATGGTGGCTAAAAATTTTAAATTGGATTGAATTTTTCAAAAAAAAAATTGTATCTAATTTTTATATTGAATTTGGTGGACTTTTTTTATTAATATGCATATTCTTTTTTAAAAAATTAGTTTTTAATTATTTTAAACTCAATTAAAATTGGGTTTTAGATATGGAACTAGGTGTCGATCACAGCATTTCGCCGACAATTTCGTCGTTAGATCGGATCAATTACAAAGCCATTTTTCATTATTGGTGGTTATGGAAAAATGGAATATAATTTATTTTTTACGTCAGCGACCCAAATATTACGCCCGTAATTTGGCAGTAAAAAATGTAAAAATCCGCGGAATCTTCATATGCTGTTAAACGAACAGGGAGCTCAACTTAACAGAGATTTATATATTGGAAAATAATGAAACAGAAAAAAAGTACGAGGACCAAATTTGGAAATAACAGAAATTAAATTAGCTGAGGGCTTTTTGGTAAATAACCCTAAAACAAAGTACAGTTAACTTTTAAGGGTTTCGCGGAAGCCCCAAAGTTATGTTCTCTTCTCCTGCCTCAGCCGACGCGGCGTTGTTGAAGAAGAAGACGAACCTTCTGCTCTGAATCTTCTTCTTCTCTTCTTCACCGACGGCGACGGGTACGACGACGGCGAAAGCGGAGCTTCGGCTTTTGTTTGGAGGCAACTGCCGGAGAATTTGCTGACATATCTTTGGCTGAGATAAGTTTGAATCTTACGAGAGCTGAGCGAGCTCAGTTGGAGCTCAAGCCAAGGTAAAAGTTTGTTCGATCTTTGTCCTGTTCTGCTACCTTATACTTTGATTTTTAACTTATAGTTGGTTCCGGTTTCGATTTGGTTTCTCTACCGTTTTTCTGGGTTTATAAGCTGTGATTGAAGGATATTAGGGTTTTAGGTCTGGGGATTGAGGGATTTCTGTAGTTTCTTGCTCTATTATTGTAGTTTTTTCTTTCCCTGTTCTCTCCATCTTACTTTATGATGAAAGAGAGATACTTTGCTTGCGAGGTTTCTCGCGTTAGTCCCTATTTCTATTCTGGGTTTGGATTTTGCGGCCAATTTTGAAGTTCTTTTTTTGGGCATTTGGTTTCGGATGATTTAACGATTGAATGTCTCTGGATCTTGATGGTCAGTTAAAGTAGGAAATCTCCCTCATTTTGCATTTTGCGGTTTTCTGTAGTACAAGCACTGTTTTGGCGCCAGTTAGGAAACATCACCAGCTGTTTTCCGAGACAATGGGAGCGGAAGATGCATACCAACCTGCAAATTTCTATGGACCAGACACTGTTAATTTCTCGGATACAGAGTTGACATATCATATTAGAACTGCCCTTGAAGCTGTCTCAAAGGTAAGTGGCGAACCATTCTCGATCTTGCTTCCTATTACATGCTTCTATGTTTATATTATCTACCTATGCAAATGTTTTTTGGCGCTGCATGTGTAGTGTTTCCTGTATGATTTCTTAAAGTTCTGTTTTTTTCATCTCCATGCCAGGGTGATACTGAAAGTTATGAGCAGCTTGTTGGAGTTATGCACTACAATGGACGACTTGCCCCCGATGAGGTGGCATATCTCGAGGTTTGTTCCTTGTCTCATTTCAATTATCGATTTTTATGTATTTCTTGATAGCTAATTTTTTTCTCCTGATGTGTTTGGTAGACGTGTTTGAAGGGTCTATCGGGTGCTGTTACTTGCATAGATATGATTCACCATCGATCTCTTCTTTCTTCTGTGAGTTTTGTATTCTCCTCTGAACTCCATTTAAATATGTTTTAGGTTGTCCTCCCTCCTTTATGTCTGAACTTTTTGTCGTGATTGTTATTTTTCGTTCAGATTTTTGGAATGAGCTTGTGGAATTACAGAACTACTGTCATGGATGCGTTGGTTGACTTAGTCGTATCACTGGTACGGCCCTTACATCAACATACGGCCCTTACATCAACATCTCTTCATCTGGTTGAAAAGCTTAACCTTTTTTCTTATATTTGCTTTTTTTTCCATCACAGGCTGCTACTAACGGAAAGTATATCGACCCTTGTTTGAACATGCTCGTCAACAACTTCAGGCCGCCTCAGTATCTCTTAAATAAACTTTCGAATACTCGAGTACTCAACCAGAAGCAAGAAGTTCTTTCTCGGGTCCATGCAGCTCTTGAGGCAATTTATGATTTGGTTCCTCTTGTTCCCTCAAGATTGATACCGATACTTGCCCAGAGAATGCCCACTGTGCACAACAAGGACCATGTAAGTTGCTGCAATTCAGATAATCGAATATCAAGCTCCTAATGACTATATAATGTTTTTAATCTTGCAGTTGATAGTAGTTTATGTTGAGAACTTGTTAAAGTTGGAGAGTAGCTCGATTGGAAAGGTGGTTGGAAGCATGATTCTTATGGTGGTGATGGAGAGGCTGCGAGATTTGGATGTAAGTAGAGATATAAATCATATAATACGATTTGCAAATCAGGATCGATACAAATTATGGGCTTTGAGTAATCAGAATTGATACATCTATATGTAGGTCGAGATTGGATGGGATAATATTCTGCAAGATGAATCTAGTAGAGGCATTTTCGATATGGAACTCGAAGATGCAGATGATGTTGAAGACACTGTAAATTATGAAGACGAGGTAGGCATGGTGTATATTACGTTCTCTTTCGGTATAAAAGCATAAAATTTTAATCAATTCGGTGAATTCTTTTTTTGCAGTTTCCGAGAGAATTTCTAGATAAGAAGAATATTCGTGGTAACATAGTGTCGGAATTGTTAGACAAGCTAATGGTCATAACTTTCGAGCATCTCGAATCTTGTCAAAACACGGGTCGTTTGGATGAGGTATGGCATTGAATTGTATAGTACTTCATTACAAGTTACAACCTCTTTTTTTCTTTTCAGACAACTCATGATTATATATTGCTTTGTAGGTGTTTGAATCTCTGTTTGAATCATTTGAGAACTTCATCCTGAACACGTATAAATCGAAGTTTGCCCAGGTACATTAGGTTGTGAAATGTGTTTTCGGACTGCTAATAACGGAAAATGTTGTCACTTAAGTCTGAATTTTCCATTTTTATCTGCAGTTTGTAATGTTCTACGCCTGCTCACTAGATCCCGAAAATTGCGGCGAGAAATTTGCGTGTAAGTTGGCAGATATTTTCCTCTCAAGCAGTAAGCCTCCGCTAACTAGGTGAGTTCCTTTTTCATTCATCACGATCTTGTGTGTTTATCCGCATCATGATGAAACTGTTCTAGTAACAACTTGGTTACTGTATTTTTTTTGTAATTTCTTCCACAGGATGAGTGCAGTGGCTTATCTCGCTAGCTATCTGTCTCGTGGAAAGTTTTTGTCGCCTTCTTTCGTAGCTAGCATGTTGAAAAGGTAAAAAATAACGAGATTGTTAACTTTTTACATCCTGTGTAATGATTCGACCTGAGTTTCACTTCGTTATACATTGGTTCTGTCTTGTCTAAAATTCTTAGGTTGGTGGAAGCGTGTGCGGAATACTGCAGAACATGCAACAGCGATGATATTAGGCCGGAAACACATCGGGTTTTCTACTGTGGATGTCAGGTATAATGCCTTTTAAGTCGTTAAGTTTCTCGAGGAAAAAAAACTCTTTTTTGTAGCATCCGGTATTGACAGAAACTATTTTTGTGTGAAAATTAGGCAATAATGTATGTGATGTGCTTCCGGATGAGATCCATTTCCGATGTTCCTCGCCTCCATTCACAGCTCGCCCCGTTAGAATCGGTTTTAAAGCATAAGCTAAACCCGTTAATGGTGAGTTTTTCGAGTTTAGCAAATTAGGTTTTACAATTTCAGGAAGATAAAACGGATCTAAAGCTTTAGGATTGATGATATCTTTTTCTTTTTTATGTATGAATGAATGAATTAGGTATGCTTGCCATCTGTGGTTGGGGAGTTTCTTAGACAAGCTAAATCAGCTGGTCTGTTCACCATCTCGGAAACCTTCGTGTTCGATGACATGCTCGAATCCGAACTTTCCCGTGCTTTCGGTGGGCTCGAGAGGCTCGATATGTTCTTCCCGTTTGATCCGTGCTTGCTCAAGATTTCCGAAAGGTTTGCTTTCCTAACTCTTACACCGTGCTCTCCTTTGATCCGACCCGAAAAATTCTTAAATCTTTTCTGTTCGTAACTAGGGATGATCAATTCGGTTAATACCTGAATCAATCTGAACTGAATAACATAAAACTGTATCCAAACCGAATCCAATATATAAGTCAAACATGTACGATTTATCTAAAACCCAATATGAAATGAATCCAAACCAAATAAAAAAAATATATCTGGAAAAACCTAAGATTACTAGGAAAAATGATTATTTTTATCAATAAAAATCAAATTAGAATCTAAGTCTATTCAATTTCAATGCTAAAACCGAAGACAACTAACCTCGAGTTTATGTTTTTGTGTTCTTCACGTATCCTGAAGTTTCATCCGACCGAACTTTGTGTACTGGTCGATGGTCGGAACGACATATGACGAGGAGGACGAGGACGAGGACGATGATGGGGCGGAGGTCATTGTGAAAGGGGAAGATGACGTGGAAGAAGAAGAGGAAGAAGAAGAAGAAGAGATAGAGTACAGCATGAACAAGATGTCGATAACTCCAAAGCATTCGTTCAAGAACAAGATGGAGAAAGATAGACTCTTGAGAATGCCTTCCATTCTCAGACCCTCCATTTCTCCTCCTCTTTAATCACACTACTCACAAAGTGTCTTTTTCTTTTCCTTTTAGGCAAAAAAAAAAAAAGTTTTGATGTCTTGTGTGGGTTTTTTTTCCTGTCATTGCTACAAGACAGTCGCATGTAAGAATGTAATCTTCTTCTCTAACTCATTATCCACCATTTCTGTTGCATCACTTGCATGAAATATATCAGTTAGTTTTGGCCAATGTTCAACTAAAGATCTCTCATGTCATGTTACAGCTCTATCTATTACATAAGCTTGCAAACATGTAAACTGTAACCCAACAATTGTCTTAATAAGATCCTGCTTTTTGTTCAAGTATCTTCTCAGTCTAATGTCAAGGTCGAAGATTTCAGTGTTTGATTCATACATGGTCAAAATTTACTTTTTTTTTTCTAGTTGTGTTAGCACTTGTAGAAACATGTTCCATGACAGAGTTGGATACCATAACCGACCACATCTACTTAACAAGAAGCCTGTGTAAGAACTACAATCAACATTGGTCCAGAGAAAGCTTGAGAAATCTATCTGTACAAGTGAAGAAGAGACAAACTAAACTAGCATCAAACAGACAAAGCCAAGCTTCTGTCCAAATTTCCTGGGCACACGCCTGCTGTAACAGCATTCACCGGCATTGCTTGAACCAAAAAAAATCTTCGTGTCGATCTATCTGTCTTTACGTGGTGACTTGCCTGTCTAAGAAAAGTTTCTCATGCAATGGCTCGAATTTAGGATGCAAGGGAGGACAAAGTGGAATATGTCTTTACCTCTAGAGAACAGATAATCAAACTGCTCTCTTTGATTCTCCACTTAATTCTCTCCGGACAAGCTTCAAAATATCAATGATCTGCAAAACAAAAAAAAATCAAAGTACCAGGTCAACAACCGATGACCCTGCTCATTAATCATGTGGAGAAAAAAAAAACTTATCTGTCTATGGCTTTTAGCATCTTTTCAGTTCAAACAATGATTTCATTATAATGTTTCAACCAAAGTTGCAACCACAGCCTAAGTTGATCCCATATGTCAAGAAATGCAATATTGTTCTTATAAAAGAGACTTTAAAAAAGGGTCTCTTTCCCCTTTTTATCACTTATTAGGACTTGGAAACAAAGATAAGGGGCGAAACCAGCATCAACTGGCAGTTCTAACTTGTTGATGTTATTAAATGAGTTGCAAAATGGAGTTGAGAAATATAGGGCAGCTTACACCAGGATAATGCTTGAGGATTGGAGAATAATGATCGAGGGCTATATATATTTTCTCGAGAAGGTCCAAGAGAGATTCAACCTCATCTCCAAGGAGATCAACCTGTGATTCAATCAGTTCCGTCACGTTAACAACAATTATACGGTTGAATGTGTAGATATGCTGTTTGAATCATTAAGATAGGAAATGTTCAAACTCACTTCAGCCTCGGCCTTTTGGAGGTCACAACACTTCTTTTCCAGACGTTGCTTATACGACAATGCTCTCCCCTTGAGGTTAGCAGCTTGTTGTGAAAGATAACTCAATTGATTGTACAGACTTTTCAACCTGAAAAAAAACAAACAAAGCATTCTTATGCTTATTCTCTTCAGGCAATGACAACAAGATTGCATTATTGTTCAGGGGGGGGGGGGGGAATAACAGAAAACAGTGTTTTGACAGTACCTAGAATTTGTCTCTATTGTCTTTTCTGCTACCCTGTGCTCAATATTGTTGAAGTTTTTGTACAATTCACTTGAAACTATAACTATAGATTCAAATTGTTTCCTTAGTGCCCTTTCCTCTTCTTCCTTTTCTAATAACTTCTTCTCTGTCTCATGTTTTATATCCAGAAGCATCATCTTCTCTATGCCGATTTTCTCCACCGTCTCTCTAGCTAATACAAGCTCCTGTCTCAATTCAGATATCTTCACCTCGTAACTTTTGTTTCTCTCCAAAGCTTGAGCTGCAACAAACTCGAGTTTTTCCTTTTTCTCCAGAATTTCTATTTCTTGCTGATGTATCCGATCTCGCAGATTGCAAATCTCTTGAAAGGCTATCTTTAGTTTCTTGCTCTCTTTAGCTAATGAATTCTCAGCTTCAAGAACTAGATTCTCCTTCTCCTTGACAAGATTCTCCAATGAATGAATATCCTGCTTCAGTCTTTCCTTCTCCAGAAGCCCTAATCTCAGAGCATCTTCTTTTTCTGATACATGCATTTCGAGGGAAACTCGGATTTTGCTTTCACTAATGTATTTCATGTTCAGTTCTTCGAGTTTCTCACAAGCTTCCTTCAAGGCTTCTTTGTATATTACCTCACAACACTCTTCTGTCATGAGTGACTCGACACAAGATTCTTCGAGATCATCCTTGCTTTCAGAGGATTGCCTACTAGCAATAATATCTCTGGATATCAGCTCAAAGACTTCTCCCGTGATAAGATTCTCCAAGTCTGTTTCCTCTTTCATGCATCTGATCTGGTTCATGAACTCCTCGACAAAACATCCATACACTTTGTCAGAGATAAAAGCTTCAATATGTGAGTCTTCAACATCCGATTCAAGCTTTCTGATCACATTTCGAAGATTTTCCTCAGCTTGAGAAAGCTGCAACGTCTTTTTAGTAGCATCTGAAACTTGTGAAGACAAATTATTACTTTCCCTTTTCATTTCCATAAGCAAATCTCTCAGCTGACAGTTTTCTAGCAGAAGTGTATCCAAGCGGCTCTTGAGATCAGCATTGTTCTTTTCTGCAGAGACAAACTTCTCGTTTTCCAATAATATCTTATCTAGTTTCGAAATGACATCTGGGATCTTCCTTCTTAGGGCATCGAACTCCTTGTCCCTCTTCAGCGATGAAAAAGAACCCCTTTCCTTTAAATTCAAGTACTCTCGCTTAAGACTAAAATAATCTTCTGTCATTTCTTGTATTCTGTAATCGTGTTCTCTCTTCATTTGATTCATCTCAGTCTTAAAGTGACTGATCAAATCATCGTGAGATAAGTGTTTCAAAGTATCATAACTTTCCGACATTGAGGTGACAGAGTCATCTTGCTTACCATTGGAATCCCAGAGTGAAGATGATGAAAAATGACATCCAGAGATCTTGCGGTGTAAAGGATCAGCTTTTTTTTGGTTGTTTTCTTCTCCAACCTCGATACCCCCATTTAATGTATGGTGCCCGTTTTCATGACCCGAAAGAAATTTAGAAATCAGCTCCAGTTCGTGGCGCAAACCTTCTACCTCTTTGATCTTTTCGAGTAACAAACTTCTACTACCATAAAAGTCTACATTTTTCTCCTGCGATCTTTGTTCATACTCTTCCTTGAGATGACTTTGGACAAAACTAGCAACCACTATGCATTGGATTTCTTCTAGACAATCATTGTCCCGCTGCCATAATGAAAATGGTTCCACATTCACTTGCTCAACTGCAGCACCTAGAACACCCTTCAGTGAATTGAGCATTTTATCCACTCCATTCCATTTCTCAGGCCCACTTTCACGAGGACTGCTGCCTAAACCCAAGATTTCCACATCAGTGTCTGTACCATTCACGCTATTACACCGTCTAATATTGTTGAGTGCTTTGAAGAGCAACTCCAACTGGTTTTTGGCTGCAGTTTTAAGATTGTCTAAAGATACTTCTTGATCCTGTCCATGCTCAATGAATAAACCAGGATTGTCTGAACAAGATTCGTGTATGAAATGCGACTGTGAGGTTCCATTTTCCTCATCACCCACATGGTACAGAAGTAAAGCATCCCTCAGTCTAGACACTTCCAGCTCTTTCTGAGCTATCTTCTCAGCAGCCTCCGATTCAACTGCATTTACCACTCCCCTGATAAATGAGTCGCTCACCATTCTCGAAATGACCAACCGATCGTTTATATCGTCCCAGTATGAGTCTAAATCATCGAGAAAATCGACGTTTAAATTCTCGTTCTCCTTAACAAAGCCGTTGATATGCACTGACACGTCGTCATGAGAATCTAAACTACCATTTATAGCCATTAAGATCTGTTCACCCATTAGTTCCCACCGTTGGCTCCCACAATAACCCTAAAAATAAGAAAAAAAAATCCTTTAGCACATCTTTCATATCATCAATACTAAGCAAGCAAGCTTTGCAATGAAAGGTACCAGTTTGACAAAGAGGCCAAAGGAGCATACATCAAAATGATTTTTCACATTATATTTACTAAAACCAAATTCCCTTCTATCCCCAATCTATGAGCTCCATGAAATAATCTTCCGAGTTCCAAGCACAAAAAACACAGAAATATTAATAAAAAACAGTTCCGAGTTCTGGGTTCACTCGCGATAAATTTCCCGTCACAGAGAGAAACCCATAAACTGAAGCAATCTTATTATCCCTTAGGATAATAATAGAGTGCCAAAATAGGCTAAAAGGATCGAACTTTGCACTTCAGCTTCCACTAAATCTCCGAAATAAAGCAGACCCAGAAAACAAATTCAATGACCAAAAGCAAAGAAGCTACCAACAGAAGCAGCAACTCTTTCCCGAGAAAGTAACGGAAAATTTCTCCAGAATCCCGAGAAAGCCACGTCCTCTGACACACAAAAAAAAGCAGCTGCGCCCCGATTTCAATGGTGGGTCTTCTTCTTCTACTGCAGTTTTAGGGTTTCTGAGAGGAGAGAGACAAAATGGGAATACCGAAAAGGGGAGAAAATCTGGCCTTCAGGGCGAGCGGGAGAGAGAGTAAAGGACAAAGCTTTAGCAACTCCGCTGGCTAATATTACGAAAATGCCCTCCAAGATTTTGTCTCTGCCTTTTCATAGCGTCAAAGATATGCGTACATACACATGCATACACACCTTGTACATGTGGTGTGGAGATATAGTGTATATATACATATATAAAACATACACAAATAATTAACGACGGCAATTGCTCATAGTTTATGAGAATAATATCAATATTTTATCATAAGACAAACCATGCAAGAAATCTATACCGGAAAAAAAAAAAATTAAATTTGACCATCCACCGAATGTTCAGTTTAAGTGCGGGGCCACGTGATTAATACACTTCAAAATCATTAAATTATTATTATTATTATTATTATTATTATCTGTTAATTTAGAGGATGACGTCGTAGTAAAGCACGTAGATTGAATGCATGAGACATTCGGTATCGTGTTTTCTTCATTTGTCAGATCAGATCTTAGGAATTTAACAATATTTTTTGTAGTCAAACAATTTAAAAAAATAACAAAAATGGAGATAATATAATTTATAATTTATACGTAAAAGGATACATACTCAGATCAAATCACAAATACGAATCTGATCAAAGAGAGCTATTCAACGTTTGGACAAGAGATGCAACTTCCCTCCGGACTTCATCTCTTCTCACTTTTCCGGTCGAAGTCACCGGAAAATGCTTCTTCCACCGGAAAAACCTCTTTGGAATCTTGAACCTGTCACCAAATTCATAAGCCCATCAAAACAGATTCAGACATAACTCAGCGTGAATCTTGAACTCTACCCAGTTAGATTCTGCGTTCTGCAATAACGCCGGAGAATCTCGCTCGACAGAAGAAGATCTTCTCCGCTTGTGTCGGAGCCGTCGAGATTTTCTTCAGACCACTGCCATTTCTCTTTAAGACAGACACAAGCAACAACCATCTCTCCAAGACGAGTCTCTGCAACTCCTGTCACAACTGCAGACAGAACTCCAGGATGCTGCAATAGAACAGCCTCGACCTGCAACGAAGTTCAACTCGAATATATCCCGGAAATCACGAAAACCCGCGTTCAAATCCGTGTTACCGATGAGGTTTAACCCAAGATTCATCAATTGAAGTTTAGAGAACAGTTTTTTTTCTTCTTTTTTTTTCGGAGCTAACCTCTTCAGGGTATACATTCTCGCCTCCGGACTTAATTCTTCCGTTGGATCTACCGATGAGCCATAAGTTGCCAAACTCGTCAATTTCCCCGATATCGCCAGTTTCAAGCCAAGCTCCATTGCTGGATTCAGATCCTGCAATGTTAACTTGGACCTTACCCCAGTATCCGAGCATTACGTGCGGCCCCCGAGTTAGAATTTTCCCGGTACTTGACGAATTTTCAAGGTGAATCTTCAGTTCAACATGAGGTGCAGGCTTTCCGACACAAATCCCTTGAGGTCGGTGGATTGAAATGAATTTCTCAGCACGAAGGATCGATGAGTTTGACTCGGGTTTTGGATCATAGAGGGTCATGAATGTGAGGGAAGAACAGGTTTCTGTCATCCCTTTCGAGAACCAAAATTCACAAAGAATTACGTTCATAACCGATATGCATAGTAAAAATCCGGAAAATGGAAGAAAGATAAGCGTAACTAACCATAAGCCGAGAGGATTTTAGCTTTCGGGAAGATTTTTATGGCGTCTATTAAGAGCTCGTTCGATAAGGATCCACCTCCATTCAATATCTTTCTGACACTAGCCTTTTGAATTCTACACCCCTTTGCCCTTGAGGGAAATTTCAGATCGTGAACAAAGAATACCGGTTTTTCACCATTTAAGACCCGATCTTAAGGAAATTACTCGATTCTTTTTACCTGTTCATGCTAACGAGATCAGACATCATTGTCGGGACGGTGATAAAGCAAGTCACCAGATGTTGTCCAGTGGCTTTAAGCGCTGTTTCAGCATCAAACTTTGGTAACAGAACATGGCAAGCTCCAACCATAAGCATGGCCATGGCAGAGGACAAACCGCCGATATGAACTAAAGGCGCCGTGTGCAAATACACCTGCAAGATCATCACACAATGAACATAGAACTCGTACAGACAGAAGAAAAAAGCCAGTACCCCTTCTTATCGTTATGCTTCTACAGATCTGAAATGAACAAGATACATACAGATAGAACCACATACATCATCCTCACTGTAACCAACCATAGCAACTTTAGCTAGAGACTGTGTGATGATGGCCAAGTGGCTTATCGTCACGCCCTTTGGCTTTCCAGTCGTGCCTATTTCCGGGAAGAGATTAACCGGGAAAAAGAGATTGTGGTGAGGTGAAAGACTATGTGGAAGCACCATGAATTATACATAAAACAGGTTCTTACCGGAAGTGAAGCATATTACAACAGCTTCACCGGGTGCCCATCTGTACATTGATGGAGAAGGTAACAACATATAATGCTGCTTGAGCATCTCGCTTGTCAGAACTGTCGATAACCCGAGAAAGAGATTGAGAAAACAGATGAAAAAACATAACAAAAAAGTATCGGTAAACAGACATACTATCACGATCATTAGCGAAGCTCTTGGATGCAGAATCCATCAACACACGCCATTTCAGAGAAGGTGCATCGACGCTACGAATCCACGAGCTACAATTCTCGTCAGTCACTAAGAGCACGGGTTCCACCATTAGCATTCCTGTCTGTGCTTCTTTCAAGCTCTGCCCTTTTGCAAGGACATGGACAAGAACAACCAAAAAACACCGAAATTCCAATGATGTTTTGTCATATATAAACACAACAAGTTACAACCAAAGTGATAATACTGCAAGAGATCCCAACGTCTGCATCCATTTATACTGATACTGACCCATCTGTAATTCAAAGGAGCAGCTATTCCTCCGATGAACGCAACAGCCAGTAACCATTCCAAGTAACAATCACTGAAACAAACAAAAAGAAAAAAAAAACAGATGTCAAACTCCAAAGTATGTTCCTTTTTTTTTTCTCACCAGACAAAAGTGTGTTCTGTTTATGGATTATTTGTCTTTTTAAATAGAAACTTTGAAGAACTGAAATCCATTAAAATTGCAGAAATGGGTAACTATAAAAGGATAATTATTTGTCTTACGCATCAATGCCGGTCAACACAATCTACAAGCTCGTCTTCTCCCAGTATTTCGTTCGGTAGAAATCCTTTCACTAAACTTCGAAAATCTTCCATCTTCCCAAAAAGGGTAGATTTTACAAGTGCAAGCAAGAACTACACGTACTTACTCATGTAGGTTTATACGTGTATACATATATACACACAAATGCAGACACAGATAGTACCTGTTAACGGCGGCGATGGCGACGACGTCACCGTTACGAAGGCCAAGGCGGATCAATCCACCGGCGAGTCTGAGAACGCCGGCAACGAATTCCCGGCCGGTGAGCCGCCGGTGTCCGTACACCGTGACGATAGTATCGCTCTTGACGGAGGATAGACGGCTCAAGCACTGGCAGATGTGGGGCCGTCGGTAATTAGACATTCCGGAGAAGGGCAAATCTGGAATTCCGCGTCCCTTTTTTTCTACGTTTTCGAGAGAGGGAGGAGGCGAAAGCACATTCGGGAAGGTACGGGCTTTAAAAAGACTCGCGACTAACGGGTTGCTGACGTGGCAATAATCTTATCTTGTAAATTAAAAAATGTGCCTTAAATTATTTTCAGACGGCCCGTTCTTTGTGCGTCGCTTATCGTTTTCCGTTTTATTCTTTCTATTAGGGATAAAAAGGATAGATTCGGGTACGGGTTAAGTTCGATTCATTCAGTTTTATAAAAATATGTACCAATCGTTATATGATATTCGGTTCGATATCGGTTTTTATTAAAAAAAATAGTTTTTATTCAGAAAGTTTCGGTTTTTATGGGTTTTTTAAAATTTGAGTCAGTTTTTTATAATTATGTAAAAATTCCATTCTAAGTATATAATTGTGTATTTTTCAAATAACCAACCATGCACAATACTTGATAAAATATTTTGGGAGGACGTTTCACTTTATAAATGCAAGGGGTACGAATATATGGACGAAAGATTTATGCATGTCTCTGATTAAACTTAAATCGTATAAAAATGAAAACAATATAACAGAATCTGATAAGCAATATAAATAAATTTGAATAAAGACATATATATATATATATATAGAGTTTAATAAAAAGGGGCCCTATGAGGCACACCCTTTCTCCGGCTGCCTTTCCTCTCCGAATTGCCATCATCATCATCATCCAGTCGATAGAGAATAATGCTTGATAAATCCGCATATTGAGAAATCAGATGATCGACCTGTATTCCAATACACATAAATTTATCAAAAGTTTTTATGGTAAGCAAAAGACCATAAGATGTGTGTAGAGAGAGAGAGAGAGAGAGAGAGAGAGAGGACCTTGCAGGAGAGAGAACAGAAGTGGAAAGGTTCTTGAATGACTTTGTAACAATGGCGGCAGACATTCGAAGAAACGGCGCTTGTCTGCGCCCTCTGGTTCAAGTATATCACCTTCGCTCCATTCAACGTATATGGCTGCAACATTTACATACAATATACATATATATTACATTAGTTTAAGAGTAGCATATATATATATATACACACACACACACAATATTATTCACCTTAATATATGAGCAGTCTATGAAGTTCTCAAGATCACTCAGCAGAACCACGTCTTGGTACATATACCGTCTCACCTGAAGATCCATGCATGAGAAAAGCGTGATGATTTTGAATCGAAAACACATAAACCATGCGATTTCATATATATATATATATACATACATCGACGGAGTCATATGTATGTATGTGTGCGTGTGTATGTATATAATACCTGGAGAAGAGGATGGGATTGATGGAAAGGGACGCAGTGAGGGCAGAGGCTGACACAGCAGGTCAAGCAGAAGACGTTCTTCTCGTTCTTATGGCTCCAACCCTCGTGGACTCCACAGCTCGCAAAGAAAGTTTCCGCCATTAAACCTTCAAGCCATGCAGGTTTCCTCGCCATCTTTATCACTCCTCCTCCTCCACCACCACACGCGCTTTTCTTTTCTTTTTCTTTTTTTGGCTACTGTTTTTAAATTTTTTCAACTGTTTAAATAGAGAACGGTGTTTAATCGATTTGGAAAATCAAGCAGATGTAAACTGTAGGATTATGTTAATCCTATGCTTATAGTTTACATTAATGTATTTTTTTAATTAGCATAATTATATAATTTACATTAATGTGTTTCTTAGTTTACATTTAAGAATGGAGAATTGACATAATTTTATAACTTACATTAACTGTGTTTTTTTTAGTTTACATTAAGAATGTGGATAATTAACATAATTTTATAACTCATATTAACTGTGTTTTTTTTAATTTGCACTAAAATGGAGAATTTACATTAATGTGGATGAGCACATTAATATAATTTAATAGTTTTATATTAATGTGCTTTTCAATTTACAAAAAGAATGGAGAATTGACATAAATGAAATCTAGTGCTGCATCGAAAGAATCCAAATAAAATTGGGTCAAGTCAACCGGTTCTCGGGTCGACCCGGATGAGTCACGGGTCAGTTCGCATCCAGTCTTTTTTTCTTCAAATTTATAATAAGAATACAACAAAAATACGATCAGTGCCAGAAAAAAAAATACACAACTTAAGTTACAGAAACACCGAACTAAATTAGTTCATCATTACAACTTTTGCACACCAAAGACAACAATAGCCAACGAGTACTGTTGGTTTTTTTTCTTTTTTTCTTTTTTTTTGGGTTCTCAATTCTCATGGTACAAATCCCATTAATTACAACAAATTAAGCCGGGACCTCCTCTTCATCTTCCTCCTCGTACTCATCCTCGTCCACGGTCGCGTCCTGGTACTGCTGGTACTCAGCCACGAGATCGTTCATATTGCTTTCCGCCTCCGTGAACTCCATCTCGTCCATTCCCTCGCCCGTGTACCAATGCAAGAACGCCTTCCTCCTGAACATGGCCGTGAACTGCTCGCTCACTCTCCTGAACATCTCCTGTATTGACGTTGAGTTCCCGATAAACGTCGACGCCATTTTCAGCCCCTTCGGCGGGATATCGCAGACGCTCGATTTCACGTTGTTCGGTATCCATTCCACAAAGTACGACGAGTTCTTGTTCTGGACGTTGATCATCTGGTCGTCCACCTCTTTCGTGCTCATCTTCCCGCGGAACATTGCAGAGGCTGTCAGGTACCGACCGTGACGTGGGTCGGCTGCGCACATCATGTTCTTGGCGTCCCACATCTGCTGGGTCAGTTCGGGAACGGTCAAGGCTCGGTACTGTTGCGAGCCACGGGATGTGAGAGGGGCAAACCCGACCATGAAAAAGTGAAGACGCGGGAAAGGGATGAGGTTGACCGCTAGCTTACGGAGGTCGGAGTTAAGTTGACCCGGGAAACGAAGACAGCATGTGACTCCGCTCATCGTGGCAGAGATGAGGTGGTTGAGATCTCCAACTGTAAATCACCATTACAATTTACATTACACAAAGACAAGACACTGATGCAGAAAAGTTCTATACCATTTTAACCAAGCTCGGTAATTGCTTCAAATACACGTTAATTGTGAACAATTATGAAATGTTAACCACCCGTTGTCAAGTTGTTCGTTAATGTCATAAATGAGAAACCTTTAAGAGGAAGAAGACTCCATGTATTTTTCAGGTGACAAGGACAGTAGACCAAACCCAGCAAATACCACCAATAATATAAGTATAATGAACTGAAAGCCTAACTAGATTACTTCAAATCATGCAAAAGTCTGTAAGACATCATTGTCGGATTATGTAAGAATCTGGACAGTGGACCCTGCTTCGAAGGGAAAGATGATCACTTGATATAATTATCAATTATACCCCGTAAATTGCATTTCAAAATCGATTGGATGCAACTACGAATCGAAAGGAAATGAAGATAAAGTCGCTTACAGGTAGGAGTGGCTAGCTTCAGAGTGCGGAAGCAGATGTCATATAGAGCTTCATTGTCCAAAACCATGCATTCATCGGCATTCTCGACAAGCTGATGCACTGAAAGGGTAGCGTTGTACGGCTCCACGACCGTGTCAGACACCTTGGGAGATGGGAATACTGAGAAAGTAAGCATCATTCTGTCCGGATACTCCTCCCTGATCTTGGAGATGAGAAGCGTCCCCATTCCAGAGCCAGTTCCTCCACCCAAGGAATGGCAGACTTGAAAACCTATTTCAACAATCGAACAACATTTAACCAGCAGAGACAGAGATCTGATAACTAAACTGTCTCTTCACGGAACACGAGGGACTGATACTATGAACCAAGAGATAAAACAGGGGACAAGCGACTGAATGAGGAATCAAATGGTTAAATGAGAATCTTCCCCATCCATTATGTTCAACCAACAAAGAATAGAATAAAACACAAGGTCATTGATCTAATAGCTCTCAAGGTTTAGTCAAACAACTATGAGACAATCCGGAGCAGGAGACACAGAACAGGACCCTAGTTCCAATGACCAAACGTATACTAAAACCATTAGATATCGAACACTTAGAAAAGATTCGAATTCCGACCAGGTCTCCGGAAATATTGATGAAGGATAAGTTCAAACGTTATAAGAACAAACAATCAAACCCTGCTCCAAAAAACTCCAAGACAATTTGGGTGGGAAAAGCGGAGAACAATAAAACAATAAATAGAAGACACGAAATAGCTCAAAACCCTAAATCCGAAAGAGATACGAGAAGGTTTAACCGAGAGAAACAGTCGCCTTACCTTGCAAGCAGTCGCAATTCTCAGCCTCTTTTCTGACAACATCGAGAACCGAATCGATCAGCTCAGCTCCCTCCGTGTAATGACCCTTGGCCCAGTTGTTCCCAGCACCGGACTGACCGAAGACGAAGTTGTCCGGCCGGAAGATCTGTCCGAACGGACCAGATCTAACGGAGTCCATGGTTCCCGGCTCCAGATCCATGAGCACGGCGCGTGGGACGTACCTTCCGCCACTTGCCTCGTTGTAATAGACATTGATTCTTTCGAGCTGGAGATCGGAATCGCCACTGTACCTTCCAGTCGGGTCAATGCCGTGCTCGTCACAGATCACCTCCCAGAACTTGGCGCCAATCTGGTTTCCACATTGACCGCCTTGAATGTGAAGGATTTCTCTCATTTTCTCGGGAAAATGGGAAACCTGACTGGCTCGAGAGGAAGCGCGAGAAAATCCGATGCGGTTTTCGAAGCGAATAGAAAGAGCGAGAGGGCAGTTTGTATGTGAGAAAATGGAAGGGTACGATTGAATGTCGGGCTTGAGGGGGAGGCTATATATATACGAGAGAAAAAGAGAGCCAGAACTTGAGGGGTAGTTTTGGAAACTACATTTTTGTTTTTCCCTATTTATTATTAATTATTATTATTTTAGAATTATCTTTGATTCACTGTCTTGATATGAGCTATGACGACTGTTCTAGAAAAGATGGATAAGACGTTAGCTTTAAGACTAAAAACCATTTTTAATGAAAAAAATACACATTTCACGTGCCATTTAAAAATTAATTTATTTTATATTTTAATCGTATATATTAACAAAATTGGAAAATTGGGAATATTCTTATCAATGGCTCAACGATATTTAATATTCAAATTTTAGATTTTAAATGTTTTTTATTGATATATATCATTTATAAAGATATGTATTGATACATATGTGTGGTTTTATAACAAGAAGAATATATTGCGAAAACTATTATAAAGTATAAATTACATGGCAACAAGTATTAAATGGTTACAAAGACATTGGAACTGTTTTCAGATGTTAGATTTTTTTTCTAGTTCTGAAAAGTTATATATATATATTTAAAATTAATTGATTTAAATATTTTATAAAGTTTTAGATTAAATCGATTGGAATATATAAACTATACGACTCCGTAACGTATTGTGGATAGTGACACTGACGAGTTTAACTTACTCATGAATTATCTGGAAATCATCAATGACATAATCATTACACATTATGATCATAGCGACCATTGTTTGGTTACATCATTTTTATTAACAAGATAATGTCCAAAAATGACATGTTGATGATTAATAATATCTCTTCTGTTTGTTATTTTAGGACCGGAAATGACGTAATTATAATATTTTAACATTTTTCGATGATTGAATATTTGATTGCAAATCTCCTTTTATATATATGGTTGTTGTTAAAAAAAAAATCAGAATAACGACTGATTAATTCGGTGATAACTTTTGGTTGATAAAGAAAGAGATTAACTGGTAGATATTATTGTTGTGTTTTAAATTTTAATACGAAAAAATGTAACTCCATTTGGATTTCTTGTTATAAATTTTACATGGTGAATTATGAAAAATGGCTTTTAAACGTATAATACTTTTTGTTTTTTAACCGGGATGGTTCCCCGAGCCTTCGGCCCGACTACATCCACCCCAGTCCCGGAAGCAGCCTTTAGAGCATCTACCCACGCCTCACCCTCCACCCCGCGGCTCGAGCCCCCTTACTCGGCTACGGCCTCATGGAAGAGACGAGTGTAAATATACCCCTTCCTCCCCATCAGCTGGTTTCGAACTGGCGACTAGGGCTCTTAGGGCAACACCTCTTCGCCACTCGGCCACCCACTGATGGGTAACGTATTATACTCTTTCCATGCGGTTTTCCAGTTAATACATTTAATTATATTTAATTAGACATCATAACCCCATGCTAATTAATTGGTCGATATAACACACAAGTAGTTATGATTTTGCATAAAAAACCTAGGCATTTGTTACGATGCGTTCTCCTCACCGGGAGCATCAATTTTGGTTAGAAATCCAAAGTCCAGACTGAACCTATTCGAAAAACATCGGATTTCATATATGAATTTCTTTTTCTTTTTTCTTTTTTCTTTTTTAAATTCGACCTATTGGATCGGATTCAATCTTGATATCAAAGTCTCATTTATTTATTTTTAAATAAATACAGAAAAATGTTATTGTATAGAGAAAGTAGTAAACGGAACTGTCTTTCCGATCCAATCCGAATCCAAATCCAGATCCATAAAATCGGATTTCGAACTTAGTTCTATAGATCTAAAAATTTTGGACTGACTCAAATCCAAACCCAAAACACTGAATGCCGACTCACGTCGGGTCATATCGGATCAACCCGTTTGACACCCCATATACATTATATGAATTCATTCTTTGATTCAAGGCGGATCGAAGGTTAATAAAAAAAATAAAATATTAACATCAGTAAAAGTTAGTAAGAATTTACGATTATAATTGTACCTTCATTGTATAAATGCATATATTGCGTACAAAAAAAGGTATTAAATGTAAGTCGTTAATATTATGGGTATATGTTTATGCAACTTATAAACTTTTAAATGTCATGGGAATATCTAGAAGATAAAAAAATTACAATTTTATATCTATAAAGTATTAAAACATAGCATTTTGGGTGAATTAATGGCTTAATTCCAAATAATTTATACAATATACATAAGATATAAATTTTTTAATTATATGTGGATTAAAATAACAATCAAAATAAAATTAGATAATGCATTAAAGGCTATAATCTATTGCATATCCAAGTTTAAATGATTTGTTTTTTTTTGTGCACTTTAAGTTTTTTAGGATGACAATGACTATTTCTATATCAATCCAAACCATTAATATCGTATTCTAACCTAATCCAATATACAGATTGTATAAATGTTTAAAGTTGTAAAATTCGTATTCGAACCGATCTATTCAAATATAAAAATGAACGAAAAATCAAATAAAACGGAAATTTTTAAAACTACACTTTTATGTTAATAAAAAGAAAAAATCTCATATAAATACTTTAACTTTTCAAAATATACCAAATAAATATTTTACCCTTTAATTTGATAAAACCAATAACACGAATATCAAAATAGACCAAATTAATATACGGTAATTGTGTCAAATTAATACATTAACTCTTGAAATTGAAGTCAATTTCCAACCAAAACATATATCGATTTAAATATTTTTTTAATAATTGTATAAGGGTTTTGGTTGCGAATTACTTTTAATTTCAAAAATTGAAAAATTAATTTGATATATTTTAATATTTGATTATTATATTATCAAATTAAAAATTAATGTATTTATTTGATATATTTTTTAAAAATCGAGATATTTATAACAAAATTTTCCCAATAAAAATCCAATTCGAACCCAAACAAAAACCAAACCGATTTCATTGATATTTTATGAAACTAAAATAAATACCTACATTCTAAAATAACCGAAACTCCATGACGATGAACATATTCATTAAACATTGATTACAGATTCACAGCTAAAATTTCCAAAAGGAGGCAGAACAGAACAACCTGGCAACCGTTGGTTTTGATCCGACGATCCGTCGGCTCTGATTCTCCGATATATAAGGTATCGTCCTCAAATCAACGGTCCAGATTCTCTCCCTCTCCTCCCGAGAGATATATACCGTACAACCAAACGCCTCTCTCTCTCTCTCTTCGATACAACCCTACACG